GCAAATAAGTTTTTAAAGTACAATAGGCCCCCCACATTTGCAGAAGTGGAAAAAATGAATACTCTGGGTCAGTGGTTCCAAACTTTTGATCCTCCAGGTGTTATAGACTTCAACTTCCAAAATTCCCAGCCAGCTTGTCAGCCGTTTGGAATTGTGGGAGCTGAAGTCCAAAGCACCTGGAGGACCAAAGATTGGGAACCACCCACCTAGATATTTCTTGGAATTTCTAAGTTCTCTAGGACAGCTGGATCACCTTCCAGCAGGCCCGTAGCCAGGATTTCAATTCGGGGGGGAGGGGGGCTGAGTCTGAGTGAAAGAGGGTCTACCCTAGCATACCTTTTGTATCGTTACCCTAATACCCCCATGCATATGGGAGATATTGAGTACTAGCCGTCCCCTGCCACACGTTGCTGTGGCCCAATCTGGTGATCTGGAAAATAATGAGAAGGTGTTGATTTCTAATATATGTAATTTATTTGTGCTTGTGGGTAAGCAGTATATCTTGTTTCTTTGTCAGTGTTGATGTGGAGATTGTCTGGTTTGCCTACTCTGGGATATGTAACATATAATTGTCCTTTTTAAGGGGTCCCTTTCAAATCTATGATATCTCTCTGTGTGTGAATCATATATATCTATCTGTATCTATGGCTGGATGGTTCTTTGTCAGAAGGGCTTTGATTATATTTTCTTGCCCTGGTGAAGGGAGTTGGACTGGATGGCCTTAAGTATTTTCTGTTGGTCATGGGGGTTCAGTGTGGGAAGTTTGCCCCAATTCTCTTGTTCGTAAGGTTCAGAATACTCTTTGATTGTAGGTGAACTATAAATCCCAGCAACTACAACTCCTAAATGTCATGGTCTATTCCCCCCAAACTCCATCTGTGTTCATATTTGGGCATATGGAATATTCGTGCCAAGTTCGGTCCAGATTCATCATTGTGTGAGTCCACAGTGCTCTCTGGATGTAGGTGAACTACAACTCCCAAACTCAAGGTCAATGCCCACCAAACCCTTCTAGTGTTTTCTGTTGGTCAAGGGAGGCCTGTGTGCCACATTTGGTTCAATTCCATCGTTGGTGGGGTTCAGAATGCTCTTTGATTGTAGGTGTACTATAAATCCCCACAACTACAACTCCCAAATGATAAAATCATAAATTTTTGAGTGATGGTCACTCCTTGTGTAGTGTGATGTTTTGTTGCCAATTTTGGTGTGATTTTGTTCATTGGTTCTTTTGTTTTTAAGGTACTCATTATGCACAGAGCATTTTTTATATATAGATAGATGGTGATCAGATCATGATATGAATAAACATAACAGTTTAAATAATGCACCAGGAAGGCCTTTTTGCGAACCACCATGAGAATTTCGGGGGGGGGGGGGGGGCTGAAGCCCCTCAAGCCCCCCCCCCCCCCCCCCGGCTACATGCCTGCCTTCCAGTAGAAGTTGTTCATACAGTCGCACTAGAGGACTGGAGATTCCTAGAGAGACCATATTAATAAAATCTGTGAATAATCAAATCCACAATAGTTATACCCGCAAATGTATTTTTCCCTTCCTTACTTTCATTTCATTCCTTCCTTTCATTTTCAGATCAGTTGTTTTGTTATGAGCATAGATAAAGATTTAGAAATTCTCCCTCTAAATACCAGCAATGGATGTGCTGTGACTGTTACCGTCAGGACCCAAATACTTCTGTTGCATGTTTTCCTTGTTGCATTCCATTATGGTTAGAGATTGGGTGTTGTTTTCCTTGCTGTCATATTCATAATGATAGGCATTCTTCTTTTGATTCAGGAAAGTTTTCCATTATCTCATCATCCATCCATCTATCTGACACATGTTAAGACCACAATCCAACCAGGGTTAAGTACTTTGCAGTTTCATTAATTTTAAAATGCTTAATTTTTGTCTGGATGGTATCCCAGACGTTTTCTGTTGCCTTGGCTTCTCCTTGGCCACATTTGCTGGTGTCTCTGCTGCTCAGTGGCTGCCTGCCACAAGGGTGGGGGCGCGGGGCAACAACATACAAGAGGAGGAGGTCTTAGATATCCTGGCCTGAAGCCATGTTACATCTTCCATCTCAATGCAAACAGCTGCATTTCATGGGAACAATGATTTCTCCTTTACTGTTTATACCTCTAAGCTTGCAACTTCAAACAGTTCCCTTTGTGGTTGATATAATGTAAGTCTGATGGGTCCAAAGTAAATATTTGACTTCACATTCTTTTCTTTCAGTGTCCTATCAGTCATTTTTCTCCTTAAAAGTTGTTTCATTGTGGACCTTGATTAAGATGGAACGTATTTTAGACCAGATTCCTTTTTGTTGATGTATAATTCATAGTAGTTGCTTCAAACTGGGTCAGAGGAACCCAAAGGAGATGGAAACCTTGTGTTTGAAAACTCCCTCCGATACCCTTTCCTGCCGTGAACAGCGGTGGAAGCTGAACCTCCTTGAAGCTCTGTTTTAATTAGCCTCTCAGTTTGTGCTCTCGGGCAAGGAAAAGGGAACTGACCTCTTCTAATGTGGCCGAGGTGCGGGTTCACTGTAAGCCAGAACATTTTATGTCCTGTACCCTTTTGTGTGTAATGCCCTTAAAACACAGCAAAAACTGCCGCCTCTTTTATTTTTCAGTGAAAATCTTATTTACCCCAAAGGAGTATCAAAGCATTGAATTCACTCTGTGAAACAACACCAAGAAAGGCTTTGGTCTCTAGCCCAAGAGAGTCTGTGCTGCAGATTGTTGTAAACAATGCGCCCCCTGAAGAATTATCTTTTGAATAATTACTTATTCCCAAGATGGTGGAGGTCTTTGAAATTAACATATAACTCCAGCTCTACTCATCACATTTTAAAAGTTTATCAAGATTTATTTATTGTGTCAGGAGCGAATTAAAAATACAATTATAGTGTATTAAAAACCACAAACAAAGTTAAAACTTGGCATTGTATTAAATTTCCTTTGACCAGAAGCTAGCCACTTTGAGTGCCTCAGGTGTTGCTATAAGAAGGTCCTCCATTGTGCATGTGGCAGGGCTCAGACTGATTTCCAGTATCATAAGCTGCTGACAGGTCTATGAAGATAGCTTCTGTAATCTGCTGCCTTTCAAAACCATCTTCTATGTGCTGAGTCAGGTTCAACACTTGTGATGTTGTGCAGATTTTCCCTTTCCTGAAATCAGCTTGCTATGGAATCATAAATGGGGATTTTTCCATAATTCGATGCGGGATAAGTCTCTGCAGAACTTTATAGAGATGGCACAACAAGGAGATTGGTCTGTAGCTTTTTGGATCATTTCGGTCTTTGCCTGGTTTCAAAATGGCTATAAGTCTTGCTTTCCTCTAAAGTTTAGGGATCTGACAGGATGCAATGCAGTTGTTAATCAGCTTCAGCAGCCAGCACCTTGCTTTTGGCCCAAAGTTCTTAATTTGTTCCGTATTAAGGAAATTAATTATTTTGTGTGTATATTAAGAGAAGTTATGCCACAGTTTAAAGATGAATCCAACTGAATGATTTAATTTTTTTTTGTTTAATGGTCATTGAAATAGAGGTGAACATAGCTAGAATTATTATGTTAAATTTTGGGTCCCATTGTATTAAAATATTAGAAGCTATATAAATTTCATGTGGTTCTGGCTGCTTCTCTGGAAAAGTGATATGTAAGAGACTCCATAACATTCAATAGAAATCTCCAGCCCTGTTTCTGCAGGTGGAAGATAATAATATTAGAGGGACAAGCAGAACCTGTAGAACATGATGGAACACAGTCTGAGATGTATCATATATATTTGTATAAAAGCCAACCTCATGTATAAGTCGAGGGAAGGTTTGGGGCCCAAAATAATGAGTTTTCATGTGACATGTAAATAAGTTAAGGGTCATTCAGTGGGAAGGGGAAGGAGCCAGAACTGTCTTCGGAGGTCAGCTACTTCTGGCCACCTCATTGTCCCAACCAGACATCCAAAGAGGCTTGAAGCGGCATCATCATGTAGAGAGTCGAAGAGCTTGGTGCTTCTTTTAAGGTTCTCTTCAGAAGATTTTGCTTTTTGCCACCCTACTTAGAGAAATGAATGATTCCTTTTTTGACAAGAGTTAACACATAGCAGTTGCATTGACTCAGGAATAAACCAAGTTGGGTTTTGTGTCAATGTTTTGACTAAATTTTCTAGATTTATACAAGAGTATATTCAATAAATTATGGATTTATGTTCCTTCCTGTTCTTCATCAGGGCTGAGCAGGAGGTAGAATGGCAACATCTCTCAATGGAAGAATTGATATGGGAGTTCCAGCATGGTGTGTTGTTGTTGTTATGTGCATTCAAATCGATTTCTGACATCTTTCTTGTGTAATTTTCTTGGCAAGATTTATTCAGAGGAGATTTGCCACCATCTTTGTTTAAAACTGGAGGAATGTGATTTGTCTGTGCAATTCATCCCAGGGGTTTTCATAGGCGAGCAAGGATTTGAACCCTGCTTTCCTGAGTTCTGTTTAAAACCCAAACTACTACATTGCACTGGCTCTGATGGAGAAAATCCATTCCTGGCCTGACCGTGGACAATCTGCAGCAAGGACAGTGTAGGTTGTCAGCCACGTGTGTTTCCTGGAAGAAATGTCTATTAGTGTTATTTGATTTGGATATGAATTGGCATTTTGATTTATGTGCAATTCAAAATGACTTTCATTTAATACCCCAACCTACATCGTATTTCAAATAAATTGGCACAAATAGGCAAACAACATCTCTTAGGGATGAGAACCAAAGAATTTTTAAAGTGAATCTGCATTTATTGCTTGGGATCCTCTTCAAGAACAACACTAATGTAAAAATAGGTCTCTTATTGCATAAATATGGTCTAGTTGATTATTTTGCAGGCATTCGCTACAAAAGGTTCCATGACACTTAAACATTTTTATAGCTGTCATCACTATTATAAATGGCAGAAGGCAGTAAATGAAGATGAGTTGCGTTATCGGCTGAATGTTTGTTTGTCCCACTTCTGCAGACAGTATATAAGCCTTAACCACGGGTGAGAAGCCATTAAATAGGAGCTGTTCATTTACAAGAAAGGCAGAATTCCTTGAGCTACTTAAGAAGTAAGTGTGTATTAATTTTAAGTCATAATTGTAAGATATAAATGTTGGCTATATGAGGCTCTCAACTGGTTGAAGGTATGAACTCTTGACATTTTCAGCCTGGGGCAAGTAGCCAACAGTGGAAACAAACAGTCTGTGATTCATTATGGCTTTGAATAGTTATAAAAATTTTCAGAAGCTAGTTTATTTTATTATAGTTTATAATATTTGTTTTACAATATTATTTCCGGTATATCTTTCTTACAATGAGGCACATCATAACCCTATTGATGCAGCCTAGGATCACATTGGCTTTTTGAGTTTTCACACCACACTGTTGACTCAAGTTAGCTCTACTAAGGCCCCTTCTACACTGTCTTTATATCCTAGGATTTAATCCTAGAATATGTGCTTATCCCAGATTATATGACAGTGGAGACTCATATAATCCAGTTCAAAACAAATAACCTGGGATGAGATTCTGGGATATAAGGACAGTGTAGAAGGGGGGCAAAGACTCCTAGATCCCTTCCATTTGTACAGTTTTCAAGCCAGGCATCACCCATTTTATAGCAGTACATTTTTTTTTCTACCTAAGTGTAGTAACTTAAATTTTTTCCCTGTTGAAATTAATTTTGTTAGTTTTAACTCAACTGTCTAATCTGTTAATGTCTTTTTGGATTCTGACCCTGTCTTCTGGGGTATTACCTACCTCATCTAATTTGGTGTCATCTGCAAATTTGATACGCTTGTCTTCTGTTTTATCATCCAAGCCATTAGAGCCCCCGGTAGTGCAATGGGTTAAACCCTTGTGCCAGCAAGACTGCTCACCAACAGGTCAGCTGCTCGAATCTTGGGAGAGCTGGCTGAGCTTCCTCTGTCAGCTCCAGCTCCCTGTGCGCAGACATGAGAGAAGCCTCCCATAAAGTTAGCAAAACATCAAACATCCGGTGTTTTGGCCTACAACTCCCAGAAATCCCAGCCAGTTTACCAGCTGTTAGGATTTCTGGGAGTTGAAGGCCAAATCATCTGGAGACCTACAGGTTGAGAACCACGGTGCTACAGGGATCCTTCCTATCTCAGCAGTGTTATTGATGTCTGCATGCCAACTTAATATTATCACAGTTTTTCGTCATGTCTTCATTTGTGAAAACCTTTCCGGTCAAAATGATGTTTTAATGTGTTGGATACTTCTTTTGCAGTCATTATGTTGCTTGAAATACTGTTGGCTGTGGTCTTGGGGGCCATTATTTATCTGACGCTGATTAAGAAGAATGAGGAAACCCCAGTTGAGATGGAAGATGGATGGTGGGGCAAGGAATTGAAGCCTGATTCGGAAGAAGATACCACTATACATCCTTTCAAGGTGGAAACTTCAGAGGCTGATATCAATGTAAGGAGCTCTCGTCTTTGTAAATGCAGAAAGAGCAGGAATACCAGAGTAGAAACACAACCCTAACCATGCTTTTAAAATAAATATTTGAGTTGTACTTACAACTAAGATTTAGAACTGCAACCTATGTAATTCTAAATACATAAATAAATATATTTCAATTTACACTTCGCTTAAAATATATAACAAAGTTCTTTAGATATTGTATGATTTTTAAAACAAACCATGAAAGGCATATAAATCTAATCTGTAGTGAAACCTGGGGCTCTTATGCAAAGTCCAGGTATTTCCTTTCTAGCAATCCTTGCTACAAGCAAATTTATCCAGAAGCACTGCTATATCATATTAATGTGATGTGCCCCTACGGTTTTTCAGAGAAGTGTTTCAGCAGAGGACAATATAATAATGTGCTGTAGTTGCCTGAGTATGTTTTTCACTAACTAGAATCCAGTTTTACCCGTCCTTAACATCTGCCGCTCTGTTGACCCTGTGCTCAGTTTTCAAGGGAAAGCCTTTGATTTTAAAGTCTATGGCACTGACTTCATCTATCTCAAGCAAATGGAACCAGCTGGTCCTAAACCGGTTGCCATGTGATCAGCCAGACAAATTTCTCTCCCTCCCTCTCATTGTGCAATAGTCACATAGGCACACTTATGGCTATTGCACCACCAAGAGGGATTGCTGGGAGTGTGCTGTTAGCATCCTGGAAATGAAAAAAGTGTATAGAAGAAATTAGATTTGAGACCATCCTGAGTCCCTTCGAGGAGATAGGGCAGAATATAAATTTATTATTATTATTATTATTATTATTATTATTATTATTATTATCCTCTTAGCAGAAGAATATTCCTGCAATTCCAAGGCATGGAGAGCATATGTAGCTTCCCTTAAATCAATTATAGCATCATAAAGTTGAAAGAGAGTAGAGTGGTCATTCAGACTAACCCCATTCTGGCATGCAGGATTACACAACCAAGGAGTTCCCAACAGATGGCCATTCAGCTTCTGTTTGAAAAACCTCCAGAGGAAGTGGCTCCACTGCACCCCAAGGCAACATATTCCACTGTCAAAAAACATTTACTCTTAGGATTTTTTCCCTAATGTTTAGGTGGAATCTCTTTTCCTGTTTTTTAAATCCGTTGTTCCATGTCTTAGTCTCTGGAGCAGCAGAAAACAAGCTTACTCTCTTTTTAATATTGCATCCTTTCAAAGATTTTGCATATTTCATTAGTAACCAGAGCTTGGAAGAAAAAATCTACAAGAAACTCAGTTAGTTGTAAAAGGTTATTTGTAAGTGAGTTGATGAGGGCACGAGACTGCATTTTAATAGCAAGGTAGTACATCAACAAAATTACTTCATTCGTTTTCTATTTACTTTTAAAAGCGTTTTTCAGGACATCTGAATGTACTGTGTCCCTTGCCTTGCACCTGCTACTGCTGCTTATCTCATGTTCCCTGTCCATGATATGCATAGAAGTAGGAATAGAGTTCCTTGGGTCAGAATACCAGTGCAACAAGTGGCAACTTCTTTAAGGACTTTTTCACATTGCACAGTTATAGTAATACGATTTATTTATTTATTTATTTATTTGCAGTATTTATATTCCACCCTTCTCACCCCAAAGGGATCACAGAACACATATACAATAAACATTCAATGCTGATTATACAATGACAAGACAGATAGATGTATATATATAGACTTTCCCATCTTTTGGTCTCTTTGGAGGCTGTGCTTGGTTCCGGCCACAGGAGGGTGCTGTCACTCTATCTCCTTGGCAAAGAACTTTCTTTGTTCGTAAATTGCCTCCTTTTTCTGATCAAAACACTGGGCCTAAATACCTCCCCACTTTAATGCCGGCCCTATTCCACTTCAATTGAAATCACAGCATTATAAGTGTATAGCCTGAGAGGTTGCTCAAGACCTCTTCCAATGTAAAGATGGTAGTACTGGTAGGAACTCAGAAAGGCAGCGGTGTAGTAATCATCATCATCATCTTCTTCTTCTTCTTCTATTTGTATACCCCTCTATCTCCCCGAGGGGACTCAGGGTGGTTTCCAGCACAGGTAAAACATTGCAATTACCTATAAAAAAAACATACAGAAAATCATTATAAAAACATAATATAATACATATTTAAAATTAAAAGCTAGTTCAGTACTAAACTTTATTTATATCCTGTCACCATCTCCTGAAAGGGACTTGAGGTGGCTTACAAGGCACTCCAAGTGCAGTGGTGTATATGGGGAGATATCGGTGTTTCAATTTTATTGCATTTCCTAGTCTGCCAGCTAAGGGTGAGTGCTGTCTTAATAAAGAAACAAAAATGTTCTTGGTAATCTTAGGGAAAAGGGTGCTCTTAACGACAATGTGAGATTAACTACTCCTACTTTCAACATATACACTGAGAGAATGCAAAGGAATAACAGAACTTGACCTTACAACCAAGACATTTTCAAGATTTATTTTTAAAAAACTGGATCACAAAGAACCATGTTGTTGAAGGATCAATTCTGTAACAGCTGGGGACCATCTAAAAGGGCAAAAGGTACACACCAAATAGAGGATATTATGAAGATATAATAGATTTCATTGGATTACTGAAAGAGAAAATTATTTCATTTTATATTTCTGATTCACTTACACAGGCAACTCTAACTTTTTTTTATCTCACCTTCTTTTCCTTTGCACACCTTTGTTGTGTTCTAGTACTTACACAGAAGGCTTGAAGAAGTGAGATACACTGAGCCGTTAGAGGACAGCTGCTTTCATTATGGGTTTAATGTGACTTATCTGAAGAAGGTTGTCTCTTATTGGAGAAATCAGTTCGACTGGAAAAAGCAAGTGGAAGTTCTTAACAAATTCCCACAATTCAAAACGAAGATTGAAGGTTTGTTGCTCATACCATATTTTCTTTAAACCTTGAATCTTGCTCTGCATTTTAGGCAGAAACATTGTGTTACTCAGTGTATTCCATTTGTTTATGAGAGTTTCTATTAGTGTTTTGGAATATTTGATTGATTTATCTGACCCCTTCCAACCTTTTGGTAATTTGGAGACTAGGATTCTTAGTTTTCAGTTATGGTTTTAAGTTAAAAATTGGAATAAAAATAAAAATTGGAATAAAAATTGGAACGGAAACAAAAACAATGTTCTCAACATGAAAAAGTATAGCAATGGCTTTTAGAATCATCAGGTTGGAAGGGGTCTCATGGCCATCAAATCCAATTCTTTGCTCAATGCAGGATCTCCAGCTAGAACAGTTGGTTCTGTTACTGAATCACTCTTACTGTCAAGATGTTCCTCCTATCATTCAGTCAAAATCCGATGTCCTGTATTTAGTATTTAGACTTGGGACCCATCTCTAAGATGTCTTGTTCCATTAATATATGCAAATACCAGTATTCCAATATAAACAAAAACTTAAAAATCCTAAAAAATTCAATAAGGGATGTTCGCCTGTACCAAACCAGCACTCTACCCATTGTACTACATGAATTTTCTAACTAACAGTTAAATCTTCCATGCCTAATCTTTTGAACTTTTATCTGTATTTTTTGTCTTTTTATAGGAATTGATGTCCATTTTCTTCACATAAAACCTTCACAATTGGGTGAAGGCCAGTCTGCAAAACCATTGCTGTTGGTTCATGGTTGGCCTGGGTCCGTCTATGAGTTTTACAAAATCATCCCACTCTTGACAGATCCTGTGAGACATGGCCTGAATGGCAATCATATTTTTGAAGTAATTTGCCCTTCCATCCCTGGTTATGGTTTTTCAGAGGCACCTCACAAAAAAGGTACAATTTTGAAGGACCTAATGGTCTATCTAGTCCAGCACTTTGCTTATGGGAAGGTTATGGGTAGGACATGAGCTGCTCTACTACCTTCCTGATGCATTTCCCTGCATATAATACTCTGAGGCCCCGGTGGCGCAGTGCGTTAAAGCACTGTGCCGGCAGGACTGAGGACCGACAGGTCACAGGTTCGAATCTATTAGCTCCAGCTCCTCATGCGGGGAAATGAGAGAAGCCTCCCACAAGGATGATAAAACATCAAAAATCATCCAGGCGTCCCCTGGGCAACGTCCTTGCAGACGGCCAATTCTCTCACAACAGGAGCGGTTGCTCCTGACACAACAAAAAAAATAATACTCTGAGGCATTTAAAAAGAATGATCTAAAAGCAGTGAGCAAATGTAGCTCTACAATATCTGATAGGATGCTGATTTTGCTGTATTTAAATTTTCTATTCACATAATGCATATGCATACATATATAAAATAATGAGACCCATTGAGTTCTGGGTCAGTCGATTTGGGAGGCACACTTCCAATAGAGTAAGGCCACTTTGTGGGTCTCTACATCTAAGTAGACTATGCATTATAAACCATATAAGCTGATGAGCTTTATTTAGCACAAGCCATTGTGAACTGCAGCATCATGCTTCATGTGCCAGTGGAAAGCTTATGCCAAATAAAAGGAGTGCATGCCCTGGTAGGGCTTCACTCTTTGAATTTCTGGTATGAAGAGGGGCAAACTATCAGGTGAAGAAATGAAGTACCCACCATCTCTGATCATTAATCAGAAATAACAATGGGGACTGCTTATGGAAAATGTACTTTTATCTGTGATCAGCGATCAGTGAAAGCAGCAGCAACAACAACAATTCTTTATTTATATCTGGCTTTTCTCCCTGAATGGGACCCAAAGCAGCTCACAACATTTTAAAAACAGTACAGACAACAAACACATATAACAATAAACCATCTATAAGAATGACATAAATAAATATTCTAAACTTCCCCAACTTTATGGAGTGGGACTTGGGAAGACATATTATTTTATTTATGGTCTTCCTTTCTCCCTAAACAGGATCCAGGCAGGTCATAAACATTTTGAAAACAAGCTGCAGTTTAAAAAAATATTCATACAAACACTTTAAAAAAACAATTAAACGATAGTTCAGTTAAAGAACACAAGGTTAAATCAATGCAATCTATAATTAAAAATGACGAAAAGGATAAAAACAGACCCAGTGAGCAGGAGATATCTCTTGTTGTAAGAAGTTACATTCAGCTTCAGTTATGAGCTGTAAATCCGATGTTCAGATTACTCTCCCTGCCTAGACTTTAAGAAATACATACTAAGATGGTAAAGAAAAATATGTTTTAAAAGAAGACCATCAACCTGTAAAATAATACAAGTGGCAATCTTGTAAATGTTACCTAATAAGGTGAAGGTTGACATAACTGGAGGACAGAATTACTGTCTGTCAATGTCAAGAAATAAGTAATAGGTAAATATTTCATGAAATGTGGGTTACGACTTTGGGGGAAAGTGATCTTTCTTGATTGTTTTTCCTTTTTTCAGGCTTTAATTCTGTGTGTGCTGCCCATGTTTTCTCTAAGCTGATGCTCAGACTAGGTTTCCATGAGTACTATATTCAAGGAGGGGACTGGGGCTCAGCAATATGTACCAATTTGGCTCAGATCGCACCTAGGTGAGTGTTTGTCTTTTTGATAGGCCACAGCTTGTAAAAATCTCTCCCTTTTGCTTACAGTGAACTCCCAAAAAGCTGGCCACAGTTGCCGCACCATTTGGGGAGTTGTAGTCCAAAAAAGTGAAATGTCCAAGCTCTGTGAATAATCAATTCAATTTATTTTTACAAACTGCTTTAGTCACGTGAAAGGCCTTCACATAAACATGCCATTTGTGAATTCCATGGGAATTAAGGAGCTTCTGTCCATTCTGCTGGGACCATATTTCCCAGGACTGTTTGGTTTCCAGGCTGAGGATGTCCGTGGGATGTTTCCTTTCAAGACAAAAATATTAAAAACACTTCTGATGGAGAGTGGCTATTTCCACCTACAATCTACAAAGCCTGACACTGCTGGTAAGAAGTGTTTGTTCTTATACTTAGCCTCTCACCCACTTGTCCTTTCCAATATTAGTATTTGCAGAAGTATTCTAGTTATCAGCTTATAATTTTTGCAATGGTGCTGTTCCATATTGCCAACTTCGTAAAGCAGTCAGATATTGCAGCATTCTTGAGCTATTCCAGGATTTTTCTAACTTTGGTGAAGACATATTAGATTGATATATTTACATATATACAGGCAGAACATGGATGGAAGCAAGCAACACGAACATTTATAACAAGCAAGGGCTTCTTGGCTTCATAGGTCCCTACACCAGCACTGTCATCTTCAAGTCCTTTGGTTCACATTCTCGGCCTTTCCCTACAAGAATTGACAGTTCTTTATACACAGAGACAGTAAGACCCATCCTTTTTAGGAAGGTTGGGAAATATGTGGTGTTAGACCACCTCTACCCATCACAGCTTTACCTTGGCCATTCTAGTTTGGGCTAACGGGAGTTATAACTCAACAGCATCTAGAGGTCGCTAGGTTCTTTAGTCCTGATTTTCTGGGTGGTGCTCATGGAGAGTTGTTGTCCTCAGGTGGCTCACGCATTCTACCAATGATTCAGATACCATCCTCTGTTGGAGGGCAGGCATGTTCAGAAGTCGAGGCACCATTTTTTCAGCAATATGACTTTATAACGCAGTGTTTCTCAACCTTCCTAATGACTCCTTAATACAGTTCTTCATGTCGTGGTGACCCCCAAAAATAAAATTATTTTCATTACTACTTCATAACTGTAATTTTGCAACTGTTATGAATTGTAATATAAATATATGATATGCAGGATGTATTTTCATTCACTGGATCAAATTTGGCACAAATGCCTGTTACTCCCAAATTTGAATACTGATGGAGTTGGGGGGTTGATTATGTCATATGGGAGTTGTTGTTGCTGGGATGTATAGTTAACTTACAATCAAAGAGCATTCAGAACACCACCAACAATGGAATTGAACCACACTTGGCACACAGAACTCTCATGACTAACAGAAAATACTGGAAGGGTTTGGTGGGCATTAACCTTGAGTGGGTTGCTGTAAGTTTTTCGGGCTGTATAGCCATGTTCCAGAAGCATATTCTCCTGAAGTTTCATCTGCATCTATTGCAGGCATCCTCAGAAGTTGTGAGGTCACAACCTGAGACCTCACGACCTCTGAGAATGCCTACCATAGATGCAGGCAAAACGTCAGGAGAAAATGATTCTGGCCATGAAAGCCTTCAACAATACATTAATCTTGAATTTTGGAGTGTTCATGGACCATAAAATCAACTTCCGTGCACTATGTGATTCCCACAAACGGTGTGATTTCCATCCACACACTAATGATTGGTTCCCTGTAAGGCCAGTCCATGAGCAACCTAGACCATTAATATGGAATTTCTCTTAACTAGGTGGCATGTCATGCTTATGATTCTAGCCTGCTATTTGATAACTCACATTTACACAAGCATATCAAGTATCTGGGTTCATAGTGTTAACCATAGCGAGCATCAGTATGAGCCTGACTTTCTCTGTTGTCAGACAAATATGCTAGCCTTGTAACTGTGTGCCTTCTTTCACCCCTTTCTCTGAAAGAAAAGTCTTTCAGTACAGAGTTCATCAGATACTGAACTGACACTCTTATCTTGCTAAGCCACTTGCTAACATCAGATCTTCATCAGATGTTAGGCAGATTAAATCTATTTGTGTTCTGAACCACTATGTTTTCTCAACCACATCGCTGCCACATACTTCTGTCCTACTGGAACATTTAGAGCAAGAAGGCTTTGCTTTAGACTTGTAGGATTTACTTTTGAAAGCCCTAGAGCCTTAAGACCCACATATTGTAGTCTGCAGCAAAACACATGCAGTACATATATAGCAATGGTATAATATAGGGAAAGGGGGAGACATTTTGTGGCTGCTCCAGTTTAACAATTGGATGTCAGAAACTTTTCTGCTCTCCCGTAAACCACCCAGAGATCTACCTAAAGATCTATATCTTCCCTCTTCCAATAGGTATATTGCCAGTTGTCTCTTTATCTGAATATCTGGCCATTGGGATTTAACAGGAGCACAATGTTTCTTGTACGAATAATGTAATAACTGATAAAATTATATATATTTAACAGGAGCACAATGTTTCTTGTACGAATGTAATAACTGATAAAATTTTATATATATATATATATATATATATATATATATATATATAATTTTATATAACGATATATATATATAACGAGCAAGTAATGTTTGTGTATATCAGTGGTTCCCAACCTTTTTTTTGACCAGGGACTGCTTTGACCAAGGACCGCTTTGACCAGGGGCCACTCTCCAACATTAGTACCAAAAGGGTTACAAACATTAGTACCAAAAGGGTTACAAATCAATTTTTGGTCAACTTTAGATTTGGTTTGGTTATTTGGGGTGCTGTTTCAGAAAATTGCATTGGATAGACCACATCAGCTCTAGTTTCTGATACAGAACATATGTCATCCTGTAGTCACCATCTGCTTGCCCACAGGAAACCATATTTAATAATCTAGAGGTGATGTGGTCAATCCAATGCAATTTTCTGAACCCGCACACCAAATAACCCCAGGAACAGACCTAAAAGTGTATGTCTCATGGACCTTATTTTAGGTTTCCCAGCCCACCATGGGTTGGGAACCACTGGTGTATATGAATATGGTTTCAAGTGGGATCACCATAGGTCCTAAGATCAACCAAGTTTACATATCTGTGTGTCTTCAAGTTGTTTGTTAACTGATGGTAACATCATGAATTTTGTGGGGTTTTCTTAGGCAGACTGTACTCAGAGATAGTTTTACCAGTTCCTTCCTTTGAAATACAGCCTATGAAATCTGGTACCCCTTAGCAAGCCCCCATATAGGCACTAACCAGGCATGTTCATGCTTAGCTTCCAAGACCAGACAAAATCTGGTACCTCTTCCAGCTGTTTTTCTCCCTATATTTATTAACCCCTACTTGTGGAGACTTTAAAAAAAACTCAACTAATGCCAATTGATGTCCCTTCCCATTTTTAGTCTCCATGTGGAATAGTGAATGAGTGAGTGTAAGGGAGGGAAATGGTTGTTCTTCATCCAGAAAGTAAGACAGGCAAGTTCTATACCTTTCAATATTGTATCCTCTAAATGGGCTTCTGCAATTGCAGTCTTAAACCTCTGTTTTTCTCTCTTGTTACCTAAAAGCAAATCCTCAAGACTGCTTCAGCAGTGTTTATTTACTTTGGGCTAGAAGCTGCTAACATTGTTGATATATTTAGGGGTGGGGGTGTTGATGCCTTCTTCTTACAAAGATGTCTTGCCACAGCTCTTTGGTTAGCAAGTTTTAAGTGGTAGCTGTTAAGTAACCCCTGTGATGTGAGTTTGTGTTTGAGACAGAATGGATGAGTTAGAAGTGAACCTCTGATTTTCTTTCCTGGTTAGGCTGTGCCTTGAATGACTCTCCAGTAGGACTGGCTGCTTACATCTTGGAGAAGTTTTCCACATGGACTGATATCAGCTTTCAGCATCTGGAAGATGGAGGACTAGAAAAGTAGGTACCATTCATCCCAGCCTAGATGTTCAGATACATATTGACTTTTCCTTGCTTGAGTTCAGCCACTCCAAGTATTGATAGATCAAGTCTAATGCACCATCAAATCTAATGCACACCTTAATTTTCAAAATTCTGAAATCAAAAAAAGGATTTGCTGGTGAATGTAATGTGCAGCGGCAAAAAGTGCACTATTTGTAATTGGGCCAAAAAGGTGGCTGCATGCTTATAATTCCTTCTTTAAAAACAAAAGTGCTAGAACACCAAAGCTTCTGGCAATTGAAGGCACAGGTTCGCAGCTTGGGTGTGATCCTGGACTCATCACTGAACCTGGAGCCCCAGGTTTCAGTGGTGACCAGGGGAGCATTTGCACAGTTAAAACTTGTGCACAAGCTGTGCCATACCTTGGGAAGTCTGCTTTGGCCATGCTAGTCCACACTCTGGTTACATCCTGTATAGACTACTGCAACACACTCTACGTGGGGTTGCCTTTGAAGACTGTTCGGAAGCTCCAAATGGTCCAACAGGCGGCACCCAGGTTGCTAACAGGAGTGGTGCTCAGGGAGCATACAACTCCTCTGCTGCATCAGATCCACTGGCTGCCAGTCTGCTACCGGGCACAATTCAAAGTACTGGCTTTAGCCTATAAAACCCTAAATGGTTCCGGCCCAGCTTACCAGTCTGAATGAATCTCCCATTATGAACCATCTAGAACCCTAAGATCTTCTGGAGAGGCCCTGCTCTCAGTCCCATGTCCATCTCAGATGCATTTGGCGGGAATGAGAGACAGGGCCTTCTCAGTGGTGACCCCTCAGCTATGGAACACTCTTCCTGGGGATATTAGATTGTCCCCCTAACATTTCGCAAAAAGGTTAAAACCTGGCTTTTTGAACAGGCATTTGCAAATGCAATGTAATCAGGCAATGACAGACCACGGAACAACTGACGATGCGATGGAATAGTGATTCCAGTAAGGAGACGCTAAGGATTTATGTTGTTATTGATTTTTTATGAACTCATATTTTATATCCTAATGTTTTTAATTGTATTTTAAATGTTGGGGGCATCGAATTGTGCCAAATGTAAACCGCTTTGAGTTGCCTTCGGGCTGAGAAAGGCGGTATATAAATATGTTAAACAAACAAACAAATAAATAAATAGAAAAGAAAACATTGGGGTGCATCTATGCTGCAGAATGAATCCACTTTAACTGCTTTTGTTCAGTGCTGTGGAGTCATGAAGTTTTGCAGGGTCTTGAACTTGCTCATCAAACTACAAATCCCAAGATTGCATAGCATTGACCATGGCCATTAAATTAGAGATGGCATTCCCCAAATAGGAGCTCCAGGTGCTCCTGAAGTAGATTCTCTTTTTGCTATGGCTCAGAACTAAAATTACCGTATTACGTGAATGTAATGCACACCCTAATTTTGGAAAAGGTAATTTAGCCACAAAAAAAAAAAGGCGAGCATTGGATTTGAGTAAATACAGTATTTATTTTAAGCTTTTAAGTTCCACCTTTCCTAAAGTCTTAGAGTTGGAAGGGACCATAAGGACCATCTAGTCCAGTGGTTCTCAACCTGTGGATCCCCAGGTGTTTTGACCTACGACTCCCAGAAATCCCACAATTTACCAGCTGCTAGGATTTATGGGAGTTGAAGGCCAAAACATCTGGGGACCCACAAGTTAAGAACCACTCATCTAGCCCAACTTTTCTGTTAGTGTGGAATATACAACCAAGGCATTCCTAAGACATAGCCATCCTCAAGGTACCCTCTGATGCAGTCTGTTACACCGTCAAACAGTAAAGAAGTTCTTCCTGATGGTTTAATTGAATCTCTTTTCTTATCACTTGAATCCATTGGTCTAGTCTCTGGAGCAACAGGAAAAAGTCTCTATCTTTTCATGACACTCTTTCAAACATTTAAAAATTGCGATTACTGCACTTCTCCCTTTTCTGTTCTCCGAGCTAAGCATTCCCAGCTCCCTAAGGCATGCCTCATAGGACTCAGTTTCCAGACGTTTTATAAACTTGGTTGCCCCCTGGATATGTGCCAGCTTATTAATGCCTGTTTCAAATGTGCATATTCTAAGCAGCTTAACAAAAACATACTCTGTCTGTGGTTAAGAGGACTAAATGTGCAGCGAGAGTTGTCCCTGTAGTGCTGACTCATTGAATTAAGAATGGAAGGAAGACGGAAAAGAACTCTGATTCACAGCCTCTTTATAGAAGGAGTGGGCAACATGACCCTGCCTGTTTTATACATACACATGCATGCAGGATTGCTGCCAGATTTGGTGGCAGAACTGCTTTTTGCTTAGGTGCACCACTGTGCACGCATTGTTTTAAAGGAAATAATCTTGAAAGCCTCCAAAATGAAATAAGTTAAATACATTCAAAGGGGAAAGATGGTCCTAAGTGAAACCAAGGTTGTAATGACAGTACTGGATTTGTATTCAGAAATCCAAGGAGTCTATAGTTAATGTGTGACACTACTTAAGGAACGGCTTAAAGAGCTTGGCATGTTTAGCCTGCAGAAGAGAAGGATGAGAGGAAACATGATGGCCATGTATAAATATGTGAAGGGAAGTCATAGGGAGGAGGGAGCAAGCTTGTTTTCTGCTGCCCTGGAGACTAGGCTGCAGTGGAACAATGGCTTCAAACTACAGGAAAAGAGTTTCCAACTGAACATTAGGAAGAACTTCCTAACTGTGGGAGCTGTTCAGCAGTGAAACTCTCTGCCCCGTAGTGTGGTGGAGGCTCCTTCTTTGGAAACTTTTAAATAGAGGCCGGATGACCATCTGTCAGGGGTGCTTTGAATGCAATATTCCTGCTTCTTGGCAGGGGGTTGGACTGGATGGCCCATAAGGTCTCTTCCAACTCCATGATTCTTTGATTCTATATTCAGTAATGTTTGGGAATATAAAAATAACTCTGAAACTATTAAAATTAGTGTAGGGTTTATCCAGATAAGTGTAGTGCCACCAATATTTTTGTCAAACTTTCTTACAGTATTATTCTTCCAGATGGGGCAAATGTATCAGGAAGTTGTACTGTTTGTTGCTGTTGTTCTGTGTTTCTTGTTATTTTTAATACCCAAATGTCCTGGCATCAGTTGCAATTATTTGACCTCTTTGAGTTATTTTCTCTTGAAATCCAAGACATTAAAACCAAAAAGCCTTGTTTTATTCTCCTATTTTCATTAGAGTTATAGCACTGTAGAGCATCAGTGAAATGGCTCTTCAGCACTGCAGCAGCATAACTCTAATTACCCAGATAGTTGCTCTGTACTTACTGGCCTTATCCATTCTTTAAAAAAAACAACCTACTAGTTGTATCCATTCTATTTAAATAAAAACATGGAGTGGGAAGACCTCAGTCAGCTGTACTACTTCTTCCACTCTTTTCCATTGCTGCAAAGATCAGACAGATATTTCTCCCAAGCACTGGAGGTAGACAGCATGAGGCCCATGGGTCCTAGGTTTTTGTTTGTTTGTTTGTTTGTTTTTGTTGTGTCAGGAGCGACTTCAGAAAATGCAAGTTGCTTCTGGTGTGAGAGAATTGGCTGTCTGCAAGGACGGTGCCCAGGGGACACCCGGATGATTTGATGTTTTTATCATCCTTGTGGAAGGCTTCTCTCATGTCCCCACATGAGGAGCTGGAGCTGACAGAGGGAGCTCATACACCTCTCCCCGGATTTGAACCTGCGACCTGTCGGTCTTCAGTCCTGATGGCACAGGGGTTTAACCCACTGTGCCACAGGGGGGCTCCTGGTTATAATAAACCCCTTGTCCACCCCTTGTCAAATTTACTGTGATGCTGAATAATATCACAGCATGTCTTTAATATAAGATGCTTAACATGTGTATATTGGAATTTTAAAATGAACCACCCTCCCAAAACCCTCCTGAAAGCACTCTTTAAGGAGGTGGTACAGTGGATTAAACTGCTGAGCTGTTGAACTTTCTGCCTGAAAGGTTGGCAGTTTGAATCTGGGGAGTGAAGTGAGCTCCTGCCATTAGCCCCAGCTTCTGTCAACGTAGTAGTTTGAAAACATGCAAATGTGAGTAGATCAATAGGTACTGCTTCTGTGAGAAGGTAATGGCGCTCCATGCAGTTATGCTGGCCACATGACCTTGGAGGTGTCTATGGCTCTTTAGCTTAGAAATGGAGATGAGCTCCACTTCCCAGTTGGACATGACTAGACTTAATGTCAGGGGAAAGCTTTGCCTTTTTACTAGTGACAGAGCAGCAGATTCAGCAGTACAGGGAGGCAGTGCTGGTAGATTCACGATGCATCCGCAAACAATATCATCTGCTCTGTACTAAAGCAGATGCATTATACCCTTATTTTTCATTACAGGTACACAAGGGGCACAACTCTACTGACTCCTTAGATCAGTTTGGAACTGGTTTAGAAGGAACCAGTTTCACCGTGCATGTGATTAGATTGACAGGTCTAGAACTGGCTTGAGGCCAGGAAGGTAGATTACATTTATCATGGAACCTAGTCTTTTTTGTGACTTTCTTCTATGTGTTGTCATGCATTTAATCCATGCTGCAATGCATATTGGCAGTGTGTGTTTTTCTGCTGCCACAGTTTCAAGTTGTCTTGAAGCTGCATCAAATTGCTATTGTAGATGGGGACCCATGTCAAGAAGTTTAGAAGTGGAGAGAAGTACTCACTGCGCTTCCTACAAGCCATGTCAAGGTCCAGTTATATATGTGACTAAAATGGGTTAAGGATGAAAAATAGTGTGAAAAAGATATTTCCCTTCATTTCCTGCAACACACACCAGCCACTGACTGAAAAAAAAATCAATAATAAACTGCTATATTTAAAAGTTCACTGAGATTTAAAATATATTTTTCTGGAATATCTTTTTAGGAAGTTTACTCTGGATGACCTTCTCACAAATGTCATGATCTACTGGGTTTCTGGATGTATGGTTTCTTCAATGCGCTTTTACAAAGAGAATGTGGGGATGCTCTTCACTAAGGATAAACATGCAGCGTAAGAAGATCCTTTTTCCTCATTTTAGTGCTCCTTCATGAATCCTCTGTCTTGATGCATTTTTTCAGATCTATTCTTGTATAGGAGGGAAATGTAAAGGTATTATTGATTACTCTTTGTAAGATCTGGGTTTCTAGAGCCTTCTGAGCCATAGAGTGAGCATCAGTAATGGTAAAAAAAATGTTCTCACATTAATGAAAGCTGCAAGGATTGCGGGGGGGGGGGGGGGGTTAGTAAATCTTCGCAAACATCCCAGCAAACATGAGCAGTGTGCCTGCTGATTTAAAAGATTCTGGGAGTTGTAATCCAAAAATGGTAGTGTGGCAAAGTTCTAGTTTATAGCAATGCCAAAAATGTCCAAGATGATGTTACTTAGGTAGAAACATTTAATTATTTAAGGGAAATTATTTTCATGCAATCATTGCAGCAATTTTGAAAGCAGTCTCACAATGTAAGAGTGTTGCTACAATGATCGGTTTCTAATTGGAAAAAAAATCAAGTTTATGGCTTATCCAAGGCTTAACTGAAAAATAATGTATAGTAAAATTATTACTGGTTTGTTTGTTTGTCCATTTTTTCGTGTCAGGAGCGACTTGAGAAACTGCAAGTTGCTTCTGGTGTGAGAAAATTGGTCATCTGCAAGGACGTTGCCCAAGGGATGCCTGGATGTTTGACGTTTTACCTTCCCTGTGGGAGGCTTCTCTCATGTCCCTGTATGGGGAGCTGGTGCTGACAGAGGGAGCTCAACCCACTCTCCCCAAATTCAAACCGCTGACCTCTTGGTCAGCAGTCCTGCCAGCACAAGGGTTTAACCCATTGTGCAACCAGAGGCTCCTACTCTGTGATCTTTAGCCATAACACTTGATGAAATTTCCCAAAATCAGAGACTGCGAGTCTTCTAATGCCAACTTTTATGAGAATAATAGTAAAGAAATCTATTGTGCTTTTCAGAATAATTTTTTTTACAAATTGTAAGCTGCATGTTATATTTTTGATTGCCTTTCTTGGTTTTGCTTATGCATCAGTTGGAACATAACTTGGTGCTCTTTGGATCTGTTGGGATGCAACTTTTGTCATCCCACAGGAAACCTGACCATGTACCACGCTATTTCAGGATGACGGGAAGGTGTAACCAACAAACACAAAGCCACCATCTTGGGAAAACTGTATTTTGAGGAAGGCTGTTGGGATAGGCAAAGTGGGGACATACAGATTATGACATTTCTTTTTTGTTTAACTTACAGGTTGCCTGTGAAAGTTCCTACAGGAATTGCTCTGTTTCCACATGAAGTCACATACGTTCCACGGTCTTGGGTTGAAAAGATGCACGTCAATATCGTTTCATTCAACCACATGCCCAGAGGTGGTCATTTTGCAGCTTTTGAAGAACCAGAGCTCCTTGCTGCAGACATTCAGCAATTTGTGGAGAAAGTAGAAAAGGGCAACACTTCCAAATGAAGAATAACTTGTTTAAATTGTAGACTGTTGAAATACAAGCTTATATTCACTATTATAATTGAGATTAAAAATGAGAAAAACCTTTGGAGTGATTACCTTTTTAGCCCTAGAGTAATATTTTTATAGCTCTGTCTCTTATGCTGCAATGACAGAAGAAAAAATAAGTCAATCCTTTCAAGCTGACTTCACAATGATCTAGAATAGCACAATAGCTGAGACTAAATTGTGAATGAAGAAGTCCCTGCTTCTAGCTTTAATTATTTCACTGTCAGCAAAGTACTTTGCAGAGATGGAGTGGGGAGTCTGTGGCCCTCCAGATGCTGTTGAATTCTGCCTCCCAGAAGCCCCAACCACCAAGACCAGTGGCCAATGATAATGGGGACTGGGATTCAACATCATCAAGAGGGCCACCGGTTGTTCACTTGTCTTATAAAGAATGAGAAGGCAACTTTCTGCCATCATCAGTGGCATTACAAACTAGAAACAGATAGAAGAGACGGGAAGGGAAGGTAAATCTTCATCCTGGAACTCAGTAAGTCATTTCAAAGCAACTGCTTTTTCAGCCCTAGCTGAACTAATGTTTGAAGGATGCTCACTTGCCTAACGTGTATATAATGATTACTAAGCTTTCCTATAAAGAGCTTATTGGGTATATCAGGGCATGGAAGTAGTCATCTGAAAGAACTGTGATTTGCTAGGTCTTTTTCTCAGCTATGTTTCAGGTAATGGATATAAAGTATCAGTTTCTATGTCAGCTTTAATTGCCAGCTTCTTTCTGTTACTATTGTTTCATTTTTAAGGGGAAATGAGTTAAAATTGTAGAATCTCAAGAACCATAAAAATTGGAAAGTACTACATGGGCCATCAAGTCTGATCCCTGCTATATGCAGGATCTCCAGCTGAAGCATCTCCAGCAGATAGCTGTCCAGGCTCTTTGAAGATGTCTTGAGAAAGAGGCCCCATCAGTGGTTTCCTTGCTGAATCTCTTACTGTCAGCCATGATCTATACAACACCATTAAAATGGAAAGGATCTGCAAACAGGAGATATTTTGCTAGCAGTCTGAGGGCTACCAAATCACATAACAATAACAGCTCCTGAACAGCCCTTTTGTGAAGAAGTTTAGGATTTTACTGTCAATGAAGAAATTGTGAAATATTTTCTCTTAAATCTGCTATGAAAATAAACTTTCTGCTTAATAACCCATAAGTCACATCATGCAGCTACCAGCTGACAAATTACAAATGTGAGTAGAACTTCCACATTTGCCGTTTTATTAAATGCATAGAATTCCTTTGTAAAACAATTTATGGGTAGCATTTCTAGGAACAAGTACTCATAGCCCACTCAGCCCCATCTCTGGGGCCTAAATTTAACTTTAAAAATCATAGTAAGCAACTTGTAAGGAATATATCAATCCATGACTTTGCTTTAAAAGGAAATACCTGTTCTTAGAAACATGCATTGTTTTGATGGTTATGAAATTTATTGTAGTTTTCACAATGGAAAGGTCATGAAGCAACACTTCTCTGGAGAAAACCAGGTCTTGTATGACGTCTGCATGCCACTCCAAAAGTATCTAAAATCCAGCTCCTTTGTGAGTAGGGTATCATCTTTTTGACATTTCTGAGAAGGGAGCCAAATCTTTTCTATTAAGGCAGTTTTCGGGTGGCCTGGATTACCTGGGAAGTGTATTTGTTTTTACTAACCCATCTTTTGGAATGTACAGATCTGTATATTTTAGAATTCTAAATGAAATAAATTCTACATTCAAAGACAAATATACTAATGTGTGCCAGATTATTCTAGTGGTTGGGTTCAAATGATATATAATGACATAGCTTTACTGATTCATTGAGTTCTGAAACAACCTTTTCAGCACAGCTCGTGAAATTTATTTCATATGTGTGTGTGTTTCTACTGCAGCAATTCATGTTAGATTCATGTTCAAGTCTTCAACTACCGTATATTCCGGCATATAAGGCGACTGGGCGTATAAGACGACCCCCAACATTTCCAGTTAAAATATAGAGTTAAGACGACTCCCATGCATAAGACTACACCCGTGTATAAGACGACCCCTGACTTTTGAGAAGATTTTCTTGGGTTTAAAAGTAGTCTTATACGCCAGAATATACTGTAATACCTTTCAGCTTCCACTTTCTTCAGTTGCTCTGATGTGAACCAGAAGTTTCTGTAGCCGAAGGGACAGTTTTAGAAGAGATTCTGGCAGTCGCTGAGTGATTCATCTCAGCATCCCTCCAGCCTGAGGTCATACAGTGTAAAGCCTATATTTTCCATCCTCAGTGTTGTACAGCTGGGATCTTGTGATTCAAAGGCGACTGTAGCCATCAGAACAGATAAAGGAGGCAGAAACCAAACTTTTTCCAAAGCTAGAAAATGTTACTTTTTATTATTAAAATCCCCCAATCCAAAATTTGCCATGCTGGCTGAGGGTTTCAGAGAATTAAAGTCCAAAATAAATTTCAAGTTTTTGCATTTGTTGTAAGATTCTAAGGTATCTACAATATCCTTGGTAGACATCCTGTTCATGACTTAATATCAGATAGGATTCTATACTGGCCTTTTGCAATGATCCAAGACTACTATTCCTCAATGCAGTTTTTATCTGTTGCACCTGTCATCCCCCTGTCTCCCAACATTTCCATTTAGAGTCTTGGCAAGATGCGCAGTAATGATGATGCTCTCCAGAGAATTCCTGGGAAGTTCCAGAGGTTGTCTTGTTTCTGTAGCTTAACCTATAAACCTAGCCAGATACTTTTCTACCCCTCACACCCATACCTGCTCTCCAGTAGCTGGGATACGGACAAGTTGGGGGAATTGGGTGTTTAGGGTAGGTGGGAGAGGCGATATGAACAACATGTATTATTGGTTATTAAAAGCATTATTCCAGAATCCAAGAACAGAGTAAACTCTGGAGTGTTGTTTGATTCATTCTTATATCTACCCACCCACCCACCCCCACACACACACCATTTTTTTCTCTGAGCACTCTCCTAGACATCTCTCTTGGTTATATATACATTGAGAGCCAGGATGTGATGGTTTGAGCACTGAACTATAACTTTGGATACTAGCCATGGAAACCCATTAGATAACATTGGACAAGTCGCACACTCTCACTCTCAGAGGAAGGGAAAGGCAAATGAACTCTAAACAAGTCTTACCAAGAAACCTTGTAATAGGTTCATCTTAGTTCTGTGATAAGTCAGAAATTACCTGAAGGCACACAACCAATACCACCAACACCGACTCAACAGATTCTGAAGTTATTGTGCCCCTTTGCCTTTATGAGTTTACCCAGACATTTCCTGGCTCTTCTAGTGACTAATCGGCTCTTCTTTTGTTCCATCTCTCACATGTGCTCTTCTATTTCAGGTATGAATGTTCCACAGTGTACACACCAACATCTGTTGAAGCCAAGGACCATTGCTACATAGTAATTTAAATTAATGTTCCCCGGTAGACTGATCTGTCATAACACAGACAAAATAAGTGGAAACGAAGTTAAGTGATATTTGCCAGAACTGTGTGTGCTGAGGGGTGGGGAGGGGAAGAGTCTGCTCCTGCAAGAAGAGGCCAATCACAGGAAACGGGGAAACCTACCACACATTCTGTTGCATTTTTATGTTAACGTGCCTTAACCATCTTTTATTGAGTGAGGTTTGGGAAGTGGGGACAAATACATCAGCTAGCTTAAAAGAAAGCTTCCTTTTAATGTAAACCCTTTTGATTGCTTGGCAGCAGTTATGATGTGTAAGTGGAGATGGTAAAGGGGTAAAACATATAATGATCAACATAAGGAAGGGAAATGTTACAGTTATATTTGTCAAGTTCTGTCCTTCCAGCAAGCAAAGGATTTTCTAGATTTAACCTGAATTTACATATCAGGTTACATATCATATGAGCTGACTTCTTGGATAGTGACTGACTGCTGTAAGTCCCAACTAATTTTTTCAAACTTTGCATAGGTCAGAATTCATAGAATCATAGAGTTGGAAGAGACCTCGTGGGCCATCCAGACCAATCCCCTGCCAAGAAGCAGGAAAATCGCATTCACATTCTCTTGTGACCATACAACTACCAAAAGCTTCCTCCAAGTCCACTTTATAAACCACACTGCCCCTGACTTTGAACACAGTCATTCCAGGTTATTAGAAAGCAGATCAGCAAAAATAACTCCAGGTGGATGCAGTGCAACAATGTCATCTTTAGGCACAAAGAACACCAGAGGTTCCTGCAGGGGCCCATTGTAGGGTGTCCAGCTAAAAGAAAGCTGGACATGTTGCTACTGGTCCCACTGCTTTCAAAGCATCTGGAAATGTCTATGTGACTCATAAGCGGCATTTTGGGATGGCAGCATCAGGAGACCAAACTTTATAAAGACAATCACATCTCAATGTGGAATCTCTGTCATCATTTTAGAGCCCTCATACTTGGCATTACAAGCATTAAAGACCTACCAAATTATGTCAGTGTGTGTACTTGAATATATGTAATGTATAATTATGGAAAACGCTCTTCTGAAAACTGGTATTCTCATATGTAATCTTAGGTCAACCAATTGAAAAAACTGTTTATTCACGGTGTCTAGAATAATCTGTCCTCCAGAGTTGTCATTGCTATTTGCCATCAGGCCTGCTTTGATTTATGACAACTGCTTTGATTTATGACCTCCAAAAGCCCTGATCATCAACAGCTCTATTCAGTCTTGCAAACTTAGGTGTTGTGTCTTCCTTGAGTCAATCCATCAGTTAAGAGGTCTTCCTACTCAAAGAATCACAGAAAGTTGGAAGAGACTTTGTGGGCCATCCAGTCCAACCCTCTGCCAAGAAGCGGGAAAATCACATTCAAAGCAGTGGCCATCCAGCCTCTGCTTAAAAGCCTCCAAAGGAGCCCCCACCACACTCCAGGGCAGAGAGTTCCACTGCTGAACAGCTCTAACAATCAGGAAATTCTTCCTAATATTCAGGTGGAATCTCCTTTCCTGTAGTTTGAAGCCATTGTTCCACATCCTAGTCTCCAGGGCAGCAGAAAACAGGCATGCTCCCTCCTCCCAATAACTTCCCCTCACAAGGCCATCATGTCTCCTATCCTCGATCTGTTCAATTTTGCTGGATGATTGCATTTTAGTATAATGATAAAAGTAAAAAAACATATCCCTATCCCCTTTCTCCACATTCACCAGGGGGTAGGAAAAGGAGACTTATAGGCTTAAAGCAGCCCCCAGGACTGTTTTTGCAGGTCCCAGAGTCTCCTATTACTTCCCTGTGTAAGTGTTTTTGTTCCAGGGGAGGGCTTTGTAAGAACTGAAATTTAATAGACAACACTAACAACAACTACCACTCCTGGTACTTATATTGAACTACTTAGATCCTACCAAGCAGCAATTTACTTCAATTGATGTAAACCCAGTCTTCCAAAAAAGATGATTCCATTTAAGGAACACAACCTGATGAGCAACCTTTTATTGAGCCAAGATTTTGAAACCTCTCAACTGTGAATTTCTGAATGTTCTCTCCTTTTAAGGCAGTTCCTTAGACATAATCCAAAATGGAGACATGGAAAAAAATGTAAAAAGAACTCTTCTCCTGTTCTCTTCTATTACGCAGTGAGGTTTTTTTCTCCTAACCTTTTTCATACTAATTAGCTCCAACTGCTCCTCGCCATTGGAGAACTACACTAATTAGTCTCTATGCTTAGGCTTTGCTGCCAGCTTCTCATTAACATTCCAGCTTCATTCAAAGGGTTGCTCTGTCAAAAGAGGTCACCGAGAGACTACTCGTTTTAGAATACTGACCTTCCATTTTAAACCCTCCCCTTACTGCAAGGACACTATGTACCTTTCCCATTCACAGAGTCACAAACCTGTGCTTGTTGTTAGCCATCTGAGACGTTGGGACAAGGATTATATTAACAAGTAGCACAATTACAAAGGGAAAAAAGCTATCAGTTTTCACTTTACTTTTCTCTTTCTTTACCCAAGAACCTGTGTGTTGATATCCTTTAGGTAACAACAGTCCTTTATACTTTCAGAAAAGGAAAGGGTCAGTGACTAGTTCTTTGCCTCATAACACCATGCAGCATCTTGTTCTTATGTGCTGTCAGGTTGACCTTAACTTAAATTAGAGCTCTCCAATAGACGTTCTTGTATTAGGAGTCCTGCTCAGCTCCTGCAAACTCAGGGCTTTGGCTTCAAACTTCCTCATTTCCTGCAGCCTTTGACTATGAGCATAACCTTTTCCAGTGAATCAGGTGATCTCATAGTATGTCCAAAGTGTGACAGCCTCTGTTTACTCATTTTGGCTTCAAGTGAGAGTTTTATCTTGATTTGTCCACCAATCAATTTAATGGGTTTTTAAATTTTATCATTTATTTATTTATTTGTTTGTTTGTTTATTTATTTATTTAAAGCATTTACATTCTGCCATTCTCACCTCAAAGGGGACTCAGGACAGAGCACAACATAAAAACAGCAAATATTCAATGCTGGGACATAAATAAATCATACACATACATAAGCATTAAAATCATTCATCTCGACATCAAAATCCACTGTATAAAACCGTCTCGATCACTGCAGCTACTTGGTACTTTTTTGGCAGTGCCAAGTAGCCGTAGAACTCTCCAAAACCACATTTCAGATTTATTTTCATCCGCTTTCTTCACTAATCAGTTTTCTCATCTATATATAGAAATCAGAAATACTTATGGCATGGATGACCTGGACTAGATCTGTAGCACCTTAAAGTGATTGAGTCTTGCATTTAGGTATAGATTGTAGACTCTAGCCTTATTTTCATAATTTTCCTCACTCCTTCCATGCTGTTTTATTGCTCTCCTGTTGAAGAATTCGGGAGAACTCAAACGCTTGCACACTCAATTAACTTTCTGATTGATTCTTAAAGGTTGGCATTGGCCAACTACAGATGAAGGGAATGGAGGGAATGAACTGCACTACATAACGGCCATGGAATTCTTTCATGTGTTAAGTTTCATTCCATTGTAAATGAGGCATAGAGGTCAAGAGTTGAAGCCTTAATAAGCATCTGAGGTTAGCATTTGGATTATGCTCTCTAGCTGAGTCCAGTTACATTTCCCTTCTGAGGCAAGCATCCTTTGGCAGTTGTCTTGTACATAAACAATATTAACTTCCTGTGTACAGATAGAGAGGGTTTGGCGAATAGAGTGGTCCATTCAGTCCCCTAAATGGATGCAAAAAGATAACATCTAAGTGGGGCCATTCTGGTTTCCTTGGGCAGACTGTTCCAGAGTCAGGGGGCAGCCACTGAGAAGGCCCGCTCTCTCATACCCACCAACCAATCTTGCAATGGATCTGGGATTGAGAGAATAGCTTCTCCTGAGGATCCCAGGCAAGTTTGTACAGAGAGATGCCCTCAGACAAATAGTCTGGACTTTGAATGTTACCCGGAAACAAACAGGCAGCCAGTGGAGCTGCTGCAACAGAAGCCAGCCCCGGTTAGCAATCTTAGTGCATGTTGAGTTCTATTAGAAATCCCAAACCTTTCTCGCATAACTCATGTTGTTAGGAGTTATCTAGGGAGGAAAAAAAACTTGAAAAATAATTTCAGGCCTTTGCTGGACAGAATATGGGAGAGGGAGAAATCAACTAGATTAAGGATGTCCAAGTACATTAGTTTAACTTGGACAGAGTATGGGAGAAAAACATACACTTAAATATATTGTCAAAGGCTTTCATGGCTGGAATCACTGGGTTGTTGTGAGTTTTCCAGGCTGTATGGCCATGTTCCAGAAGCATTCTCTTCTGACGTTCTACCTGCATATATGGCAGGCATCCTCAGAGGTTGTGAGGTCCTCACAAACTTATACACTTTTTTGGAAAAAAAAATTGTGATTTGAGTATCTATAGTCTAGGAGTAACTTTTTAAAGCTCTAGGAAAAAGTGATTAGTGGAGATGAGCTCAATAAGTAATTTTGACTCATTTGTAACAACTTACCCCACCCTACCACACTTTTTCACAAAGGATATCAACATTAAAACTTTCATGCTCAGGCAGTAGCAAGACAGCTGAGTCAAGTCCATGTGTTCCCAAAGGGCAACTGCTTGCCAGCTGAAAGGAGAAGGATGTCCAAATATGTCACAACACCAGCAGTAGAAGAACAGGAATGCTGCATTTGCTCTAGGTGCCATCTTTGGGTTTTACATATTATGCAGACCGGTGGCAGTTTAATATTCTTCAATAGCTGGATAGCATATTTCAAGTAAGTGGGAATAATGCACAAGGGTAAGCACTTTCATTTGTTGATGTTAGAGAGCAGAGTTTTGGGGAGTGCAGATGCCTTTAAGTTTATGGACTGTCAGTTTCACAGAACAGCTGCGTTTAGTTCAAATCCTTCCCTTGCATATCTACCACAAGATATGCAGAGCAGCTCCTTGCAGCTGTTACAAATACACAACAAAAGTAGGCTGCTGCTGGTGGTAAATAATTTTCAAGTCTGCTAGACTGAGAAATGAAATTGAGAATTCTTTAAAAAATATCTTTAAGACACATAAAAAAACCAGTATGTTTGAACGTTAAGCCATTCATCATGATAAAAGGAAAAAAGGTAGTAACGCAGAAATATGTAAATATGTTCTCAACTAAATAAAAGGATAGGAAAATTACTAACACAACCAGGAAATTATCAACAAGGACAATAGACAAGATCCAAAACAGTGAAGGAAGATTCCATAGACTAGAACCAAAAAAACTTAAATGCTATCAAACTGATAGACCTATATAGTACAGATATTTGGATAAACTCGATTAAAAAAGCCATAACACTGAATCTGTAAAATGAGAGCAGGATTGTTAGGAATAGGTTGACTTTGGAGTCTCTCATTCATGGAGTCTCATACATACGTAGAAGTCAACAAATAAAAAATACCTGTTCCGTGTTGAAGCAAGTGCTAAAATAGGAACCATATTAAAGAAGCATGAATTCAAATGCAAAGCACAGATTAAATTAACAAAGATTGAACTGAGAATCATAGAGTTTAAAAGAACCCTGAAGTTAATGTAGTCCATATCTCTGCCTATATATGAGTGAACTGCTAAATCATTTCTGTAAGTAAGCCATCAAAAAGTAAGGCATCAAACTGCCAACGAAATTCACCACCTTCCATAGTAAACTACTCTGCTGCCGAAGAAGTTTTTCCTAAAGTTCAGCTGGTATCTCCCTTCTTGTAATTTGAATCTATTACTTTGAATACTACTCATCTTCTCAATGACAGCCCTTCAGATATTTGAAGATTAAAAGCAAACTTATGTCTTTAAGACTGCATAGGAAGGGCCATAACTCAATGTCAGGAAATGTATTTTGCATGCATCTGGTTTGTGATTCAACTTCTAGCATTTTGGATAAGATTATAAAAGGCTTCTGATTGAAACATTGAAGAGCCACTGCCATTTCATATAGATTATATTAAACTACCGTAGACACACCAGTGGCCTGATCTGGTAAGAGCCAGCTTATCTTACATAGATAGATTTGATCAGAGGCCATTTATCTGTTTCTGAGTTTTAAAGTTGAATCAGGATGGCAGTTAATAGTGAAGTGTTCAGTATTCACTGCCATAGCTAGTAATGGTAGAATATATTAGAAGATAGTAGAATATGACTTATAAAAAGGTAAATGTTTCCCCTTGACATTAAATTTAGTAGTTTCTGACTCTGAGGTGTGGTGGTGGTGGGGTGTGTGTGTGCTCATCTCCATTTCTAGCTGAACAGCCAGTGTTATCCATTGACACCTCCTAGGTCATGGCCAGCATGACTGCATGGAGCACCGTTACCTTCCTGCCAGAGCAGTACCTATTGATCTACTCACATTTGCATGTTTTCAAACTGCTAGGTTGGCAAGAGCTGGGCTAAAAGCGGGAGCTCACCCCGCTTCCCCGATTCGAATCGCCAAGCTTTCGGACAGCAGGTTCAGCAGCTCAGTGGTTTAACTCACTGCACCACGATATATGTATACATGTATGACTTATGCATATAACAAAATTATGTTGGAAAGAACTGAGGTATTCTACATTCAGATGTTGACATGGTATTTTGCCCAAGTCTGAGGGCTCAGAAAACACAGTTTTACAAAAATCTATATATACTGACACATATGCATTTGAATTCAGTGTTTTATTCCATGTGATTGCTTAATTACAGTTAGATCCAACATAGCTTCTTGTAGAAATTTACACCTGAAACATAATTTAAAAACTAGCTAACATTTCATTTGTGATATATTTTGGCACTTAAAGCCGACTTCTTTTTTTAATAAGCCAGGGAGATTAAAAATGATAAAATGTTCACATCCTTTATTGCTTGGCAAATTAAGCTTCCCTTGTGTGAGGCGTTTAAAACAGTGACCAGAAAATTAACAAACTCACTTCACACTTTAAAAAAAATCTCCAATAAGCAATGTTTGTCACCCCAAGTCCTCTTTTTTCTAGATACACCTTTCCTCTATATTTGCAGGAAAATCCTCTTCTCAGAAGAGGAATACTCTTGCCAATTCAGAACAGTCCCCAGATTTCATTTACTTGTCTTTTCCTATGTTCTATTTAATATAGAAACAAGTGGTGCCTTTGGGCATAACCCTCAAGTGTTTTAACGAATACCAGTGATCTAGCACTTGCCCATACAATATAATTTTTCCATAAAAAAGTAAACCAAAGTGGTTTCTCTGAGCCCTGTTTTTCAGTATGCCTATGTCACAATGTGCACAATGACCTATAAAAGCAACCAAGCCCAAGGTGGCAAGATTGCAAAACATTGGCACAACTGAAACTTCCCTGAATGGTCAGATAGTGCACCTAGGAACACTTTCGTGAAATCTGCTGCTCCAAAATAAGGCCCAGGGCGCCACCTTGTGATAGTCCATGACATCATGACACATACTTTTATGTCTCTTCAATGAATACAGGTTGCTCAGCGTAAGAGACATGGAGGACACGTTCCCTTGTTCGACTGGTCTCTGACAGGGTCCCATAGTACCGTTGGTCGTTACGAGACAGAAGCGTTCTTTCAGTAGGACTACGTTGCAGAACATAAGGGACATATACCTGGAATGACATAAAATGCACTCTTTATCATGAAAACTTTTGAGAAAATGTTTGATTCCTTCATATTACACCACCTTTGATAAAGAGGCGGGATGAAGTGGATTTTATTTACTTATTCATTTATTTACAGTATTCATAGCCCTCCCTTCTCATTCCCGAAGGGGACTCAGAGCAGCCTTACAAAGGAAACAATTCAATGCCATACACACAATAGACATAAGATAAACATACACATTAAAACATGAATTTAAAATAATATAAAAATTGAAACACATTATTAAAACCACACAATCTGAGATCATAGTCAAAAAGCCGTTCCCATTGTCATTGCACATTTTCCATCATCACTTATTGCACTGCTCTATTTTGCATCGTCTTATCTTGGATTTTGATTTAATTAGGTTTGATTCTACCCCACATTAGGTAAAGCAACCCAATTTAATCCCTACTGACACCTTTACCAACGTCTAAATTTATTTCCAGATTTGATGATGAAGATATTGTCTTTCTCATGAATGGGCCTAGGGCTGATTTGTAACTTTAACGAAAAAGAAATCTATCTGTATTGACTTTATTTCTCCTAAGTGTATAGTCGTAAGCGATATACAAGTATAATCTTTTCTGCTGCTTAACAACTTACTCTACATCAGAGCTTTCCAAACTTTTCATGTTGGTGACACATTTTTTTAGATCTGTATTTTTTGTGATGCAGTAATTCAACAGATTTTGAATTTTTTTCTTTACACTTACGTACTACAGTTTATTATTGTGTAGTTTTCTCTATAACTGCTCTATATGGTTCATGACAAACCTCACTGTCAACAGATTTCTTCTTAATTAGAAACTTACCAATTTTAATGGTAATTACTACAACTCCAATAACAAATTGCACAAATTATAAAAGTTCTAATGGTAACAATTTAACAGCAGCAGCACTCCACTTCTATAGTGATTAAACCTTTCTGGAAGCTGGCTTTGACTGTGTCTTCCTGCCTGGCTGCAGGGGGTTGGACTAGATGCCCTCTGGGGGTCTTCCAACTCTAGTGAAATACAGACTGCCTGGGAGTCCAGCAATTTCCGTCACTGGAGGTGTGTGTCACAATATACAGTTTGAAAAGTTCTGTTCTACATCACCTCAGGGCAAGATGCAGACACCATGAATATCACTGTGCTTCCCCTGAACCACGTTTGCCTAAGAAGCCACTGTATCTGCTTTGTATTTCAATGCAGATACTCCTATATTTTTATCCCAAATAATATCAAACTTTTTATATTAATATAACCTATCTTCTGCAAGGACAAGTCCACCTCCCCATTACCAGATGTGTCAATTAAGCATTTGATTCCCTAGTTCTGTTTTAAAAACAGAATCAAATATTTACTCCTATTCCATAAAACAATATTTCACATGTATTCAGATATTTATATATACAAAGAACAAGTAATTTTTAAAAAATGCTTACAGAAGATTTTGGCTTTCCTACTGAAACATTGTGACTTACTCCTTCGCTAGAGTCATACTGTTCTACCTGCAAGTATCAAAGGAAGACAGTCATTTCAACAAAGTGAATTCCAAAATTTCAAATACTATACATATACCAATGTACCCAAATCTGGTGCCTTAACATCTATAATAAAGGCCCCAACTCCTTCAAGGTAACTTTTTTGTATTTAAGGTTTATAATTAACCAGAATCTGGTCTGATGAAAGTCAAATGTAGATTGACTACTTTTGAAACTTAATATCAATGCCAAATCTATTTCCAAAGGAAGACACATTTTTTAGCAACACTCAGTTACATCTACTGTGACTTACCGTGTAATTCAGAGGGCTCAGGAATTTGAGGCAGTGAAAGCAGGTATAGCCTAAGCAAACAACAATAGCTATACCTAAAACTAGGAATGTAAATAAAGTTGTAGGTGCTTTAAAACCTAAAAAATACAAACACATCAACATAAAATTAAGTGATGGGATGGAGTGATGGGAACATCAATTACACATGAAAAGAAAACAGAAGCCATTACACATATTGAATATATCTATCTATTAGGTGTAATATGCAAATAATATTCCTGCCATTTACACAATGTGCACCCTTGATTTCAACATCTGAATAACCGTTTCTTATATCAGTATCAGAAATCCTTGTAATTAAGTGCTCAAAAGTCAAATTCAACTTAAGGTGCCCCTATGAATGAGAGACCTCCAAGTCACTCTATCATCAGATCTTGCAGACGCAGGACTATGGCTTCCTTGGTTGAGTCTATCTTGTTAAGCATTATTTTCTAATGAATCACATTCTTTTCCCATATGTCAAAAATATGCCAGTTTCTGTTTAGCCATCTTGACTTTTACGGAGATTGGGTCTAAGAAACATTTGTCTTTTTATCACTTCACTCTATCTGTCTCTTGCACCATTATTTCAAATAAGTTCATTTCCTTCATCATCCAGCTTTCATAATTATACATAGAAACGGGAGACATAATAGCATGTTAAATCCTACATTCGGAATTCAGTGATGTATCTTGACACTTCAGGATCTTGTCTAGTTCCTACATAACTGTCCTTACAAATCCTAGTCTTCTTGACTGCAGCCTTCATTCTGATTACTGATTGGGCCAAGATATGGATAATCTTTAATACATTCACTGTCTATTTTAAAGTTATGTAAACCATATGTGGTCATAATTGTTATTTGTCATTGTTCAACTGCAAACTCTGTTTACACCGTTTTGATTTTCTTCAGCAATTGTTCCAGGTCTCTTAGCTTCTGCAAATAGCATGACGTCATCTGCATATCTTAAATCATCCCTTCCTCCAAATTTTACACCTCCTCCTCTGACCACCTTACCAACTGGAAACCATTCTATTTCTCCATATTCCGTCCTAACATGCTATTATATTCTTGCTCTGAATTCAGCTTACACATCAGGATAACCAAAAATTGTGGTACACTCATTTCTTTAAGATGGTCCAGTTTTTCATCATCTATACAAGGCTTTGCTATAATGTATAAAATTATAAGTTGCTTACCTGTAACTGTAGTTTCCTGAGTAGTCACCTGTGAATTCGTACATTTGGTATTTATGCGCTTGCGCAGTTCAGCCTTCGGAACCTTCTAGAATTTAAAATAATAATTCAGACCCCAGCTAGACCCGCCCACCCTCTCCCCGAGTATAAGTAGCCCGTGGGCGGGGCTAGCCAGCAGTTCTCTTCCGCCACAAAGCAGCTGGAAGGCGTGGCATGAACTCGCGGGGAGGATGGGCGGGTATGTACGAATTTACAGGTGACTACTCAGGAAACTACAGTTACAGGTAAGCAACTTATAATTTCCTGTCGTAGTCACTGTGAATCGTACATTTGGTAGATTAGCGAGCTACTAACCGAGGACGGTGGGCGTCATGCCACAGCCGAAAACAGCACAGCTCTGCCAAATTGTGCATCACGTCTGGACACAACATCCAACTTATAGTGTGTCACAAAGGATAACGGTGAAGACCATATTGCTGCCCGGCAGATAGCATCCAGAGGAACCCCTTTCCAAAACGCCGCAGACGTCGCCACGGATCTTGTTGAATGACCTCGAATGGGACGAGGCAAATCCTTGCCCGCCAGTCGATAACACAGGTCAATTGCAGACACAATCCAGGATGACAGTCTCTGAGATGAAACAGGCATGCCCAGTACATCCGAACGAAATTTAACAAATAACCTGGGAGTCTTTCTAAAGGGGGCCGTCCTGTCTACATAAAAAGCTAAAGCCCTGTGAACGTCGAGTAAATGCAAGTTTCTTTCTAGGGCAGTGGTAGGGTTCTGGAAGAAAGAGGGAAGTATCAGGTCTTGGGAAATATGAAACTTTGTAGACATCTTGGGCAGGAAAGCTATATCGGTCCTCAAAACTGCCTTGTCCTTGTGAAATTTGAGGTACGGTGGATCAGCCCTTAGAGCACACAGTTCGCTAGCTCTCCTAGCCGAAGTTATAGCTATTAAGAAGGCCGTCTTCCATGACAAGCAAAATAAACTGGCCGATGCCAAAGGCTCAAAGGGGGGCTTCATTAACGAACCAAGCACCAATTCCAAGCTCCAAGAGGGGGCGACGGGAGCTACTGGGGGTCTAGTATTCATGAGTCCTCTTAAAAAAGTCTTCACAAGAGGATCTAGGAAACAAGAGGGGAGGCCAAATTTTCTACGAAACCACGAAATAGCGGCCAAGTAACATTTCAACGATGGGTAGGATAAACCCGCGTCCAATAGTGACACCAGAAAATCTAACACTAAAGAAATAGGAGCAGTGTCAGGGTTCGTTCCCCGACCCCTTGCATAGGAGGAGAATCTCGACCACTTGTAAAGATAGGACCGCTTAGTAGACGGTCTATGGGCCGCTTCGATGATCCGGAGCACCGGATGAGACAAATCAGAAAACGGGGCTACAGACTGGGGAGGATCCGCCAGGCAGTGAGTCTCAGTCTGTGTACCTCTGGGTACAGAACCTGGCCTCCCTGTGATGTTAGGAGGTCTGACCTGTCCGGTAGGCGGGTGAACACTCCCCTCGCCAGCAGGCGCAACGGGGAAAACCACGGCTGTCTCGGCCACCACGGGGTCACCAGTATGCAATGTGCGTTTTCTGCTTGGAGTTTCGCCACCACTCTCAGTTGGAGTGGGAAAGGAGGGAACGCGTAGGTCCTGAGGCCCGTCCATGTCTGGATGAAGGCGTCTCCCAGACACCTCCCCTGAGGCGACGCATGTTCTCGAGCGCAGAAGAGAGGGCACTTCGAATTGGACCGTGTTGCGAAAAGGTCCAACTCTGGGGCACCCCATGCTCGGAAGAGCCTCTGCACTTCTTCCCGGTTCAGGGACCATTCGTGATGTGCTAGCGGGTTGCGACTCAGGGAGTCTGCTAGCAGATTCAACTCTCCTGGCACATGGGTCACCAGAAGATGAATCCCCCTGTCTATGCACCATTCCCAAATTTGTAAAGAAAGGGCTAGGAGGGTGTGAGAGTGTGTGCCTCCCTGTTTGTTCAGGTAGTACATCACCGTGGTGTTGTCGGTGAGGACGTGTACTACCTGACCTGTGACCACCCTTTCGAAGGATCTCAGGGCCCTGTCGACGGCGAGAAGCTCTAGCGCGTTTATGTGAAGAGTGCTTTCTTCTTCTCCCCACATGCCGTGAGCTACTAGGCCTTGAGAATGGGCACCCCAGCCCGTCAAAGATGAGTCTGTGGTGACCGTCCTTGTGGCGCGAGGGGCGTAGAAAGACAGACCCGCACACGCCCACTCTGCGTCCATCCAGCATCGGAGTGATGAGCGGACCCACGATGGTGGGGATAGCCTCATGGCTGAGTTGTCCACCAACGGGTTGAACTCGGAGAGGAACCAGGATTGGAGCCGCCGCATACGCAATCTGGAATAGCGGATGACCGACGTGGTCGAAGCCATGTGTCCCAATAGCACCTGGAAATGCTTGGCCGACATGTCGGGTTCCGAGATGGTCAGGCTGATCAGGTCGCGCAGGTTGGCGAAGCGGTCCTCCGGCAGAAAGGCCTTCTCGGCTACAGAGTCCAGAAGAGCCCCGATGAATTGGATGCGTTGTGAAGGCACCAGCACCGACTTCTCCCGGTTGAGGACAAGTCCCAGCGACTGCAGAAGAGACAAAACCATGGACACGTGTTTTTGAAGCACGTAACGGGATCTGCCCACTATCAGCCAGTCGTCAATATACGGATAGACGGTCACGCCCCTCGTCCTCAGATGGGCAGCCACTACCGCCATACATTTTGTAAAGACCCTTGGGGCAGCAGAAAGGCCAAAGGGTAAAACGTTAAAACAATAGGCTTGGCCATCCACTCTAAAGGAGAGAAATCTGCGATGGTGAGGGGCAATGGAGATGTGGAAGTACGCATCCCTAAGGTCAACAGTCGCAAACCAGACCCCCCTCGAGAGGAGGGGGGTTATGGAAGCAAGAGTCACCATCCGAAATCTTTTTGGCTTAATATGTTTATTTAGTGCTCTCAAATCAAGGATTGGGCGCATTCCACCTCCACGTTTGATGATCAGAAAATATCTTGAAAAGAAACAGAACGGAACAGCAGAGGGGTCCACCAACGAGATAGCCCCTTTTTTTAACAACATTCCAATCTCCCCCATAAGCTGAGGGGAGGAAGCAGTGTCTCTCAACTGACCCACCCTAGGGATGTCTTCAAATTCAATAACATAACCATCAGACACAATAGACAAAACCCAGGCATCTGTCGTGATGCGTGCCCATTCAGAATGGAAGGGGGCCAGTCTGTCCCTGAAAAAGGGGGATGGTCCAACAGGGACCTCTGTGCTTAACTCGGTAGAACAGTGTGGAGGGGGAATCCCTGACCGGAACTCCTCCGGAACTGGTATAGGCTCAGGTGCGCCGGCCCTCAAGCTCCCCGAAGAAACGTCAAAGGCGCTTCTTTGAGGCGCCTGAGGGTTTAGGCTTCCCTTGAAAAGATTGCGCCCTACCCTTTTGAAAATAAGGGGTTCGACAAGCTCCCTGGAACCTGGAATTTCCAGAAAATCTATTCCTTATAGGCCCTGAAAAGGAGCTATTAAAAGGTTTACGATAAGGGGTCGTAGACGGCTGCCATTTGGTCCGAGATTGATTATACGGCTGCCATGTATAACCGAATTTGTAGGCTGATTGCCTAACATCTTGCTTTTGTTTTAAATTGTCGTCTGTATTGGGGTTGAAGAGGCCCTCCTCATGAAAGGGGAGGTCCTCAGCTAGGGCTTTTCCCTCCTCGGACAGATTAGAGGCTCTCAACCAGGCGTGCCGTCTTATGGACGTGGCAGTGGCGAACAAATTGCCCGCCGTCTCGGCCATATGCTTGGCGAAGTCCTTCTGAAGTTTTGACAACGCCAGGGCCTCGCCCTGCAGCGCTTTGGGGAGGCGTTGTTCCTCTACTGGCATAGACTCAATGTGCTGCAACATCCGGTTCCATAAAAATGATTGATAACCGCTCATATAAGTAGCGTAATGAGCCATACGCGTAAATAAACTAGCTGCAAAATACGCCTTTTTTCCAAAATTGTCCAGTTTCCTACCCTCTCTGTCTGGGGGGGTGGTTACTGAGTTCTTAGGCCGCTTGGACTTGGTGACCTCTGCCACCACCGTGTTGGCCTTGGGAGGTGTAAGAGCCCACTTGGCTGTGGACATATCAATTTTATACAATGCGTCTAGCCGCCTAGGGACGGCCGGCACAGCAGATGGAGCCATATCTACCACCTTTGCTAGTTTCAATAGGTAGGGCAACACAGGGAGGGCAGAGGAAGATATCACATTTTGTTCCTCCGACGGGAACATCGGGTCCTCGACATGTTCGGGAGGTTTAGGGGCAGGAATGTCTAAGGCCCGTATCATTCTTTCAACCAAGGCTGCAAACTTATGAAAATCGGCAGGTAAAACAACAGAGGCATCCTCACCCCCCAAGTTTTGAGCCACCTCCGGTGGTTCTGAACCGGAATCGCTGTCCCTTGGTTCATTATCATCCTGGGCCGAAGTCACTGGCAAGTCCACTGGTGCCGCCCTCAAGGGAGCCGTAATGGTTACGTCCAGTTCAGTTGGGCGGGTGTTGGCCGAACTGGCCGGAGCCCTCATAGCAGGAGGGTTACACACAACCAAGTCAGTACCGCTTGCAGCACCCATCGGTGTCTCAGGGCCAAGCGGCTGGCCGGCCACTGCTCGCAGCCCATCCCCTGCTGGGCCAGCACACCCCCTCGGGGTCGAAACAGGGCCCGCCGGAGTGGCCTGTGAAGGAAGGGCCCGCGCAGGCGAGGCGCCTTGTCCAAAGCCATTCCCTTCGTGCCGGGGGAGGGGGAGCTGCTGCTACAGAAAATGGGGCCGGCGTCGGCACAAAAATAAGTTGGCCCGACGGGGCCATCTGCCAAAACCCCTGTGGGACCGCCGGTCTCGGATCAGCCCGTCTTCGGGATCGGTGGGAGCGCCTCCTACGCCTGGGGGAGGGTGAAGAGGAGGAGGAGGACGAGGTCGAAGAGGAGGAGGAGGAAGAAGACCTGGATCGCCTGCTGCTCCTCATGGAGGCTCGATGTCGCCGGCGCCGAGAGCCCCTGCTCCTTCGCGAGGGAGATCTAGAGCGCCTTGGGCGCTTGCTGGAGCGACGGGATCCCCGGCCATCTCGCTGCTGGGTTCGAGCGGCATCAGCCCCCGATGGTCCGGCTGGCAACATCGTATGAGCCGGGTAACCAACTGGCCCCTCTACAGGGGCTTGCACAAGCTCCGCGAATAGCCGGCCTCGGGGAAGGCATTCCCAAAGTCGCCTCGGCAGCGAGGGGAGGCGGGCCATTGAATATGCCTCCAAACTCGCTGCTGCAGGATGGTGCTGCCTCCAGAGGCGGGGTTGTAGGCGGAGCTACAGGGGACAGCCCCTCCTCTCTCAGGGTTGTTCCTCCACCTCCCTCGACGCCGGAGGGAGACAATACGGGCATCGCGGGAGTCAAAAGAACCTCTGGCAATAGGCTCTCCGGCCTCGGGAGAGGCGCTCGGACTGGAGTGGCGTCCGCCGGTTCCATATTCAAGGTAGGTACCGCCATCGGCCGGGCCGGCTGCTCATGCTGCTCCGCCATTACAGGGGGAGGAGCTGAGGTGGCAGAGGAAGAAGCGGCGCTTCCCACCCTTTTCGAAGCCGCTTTTTTGCTCAATGTTAGGCGGCGGCCATCTTGTGAGGCCTTGTCCTTTGGCTTTTTAGCCTTCTTTTTGGCCAGATCTGCAGCCCGATCCAGAAAGGGCAAGGCCATCGCTGCCGTGGGCGCCTGCTGTGCCGATGGTGTGGGCGGGAGCAGGGCCCTCTCGTAAAGAGCGGCTTTAAGACGGAGTTCTCGGCTCTTCCTGGTCTGCGGCGTGAAAGCCAGGCAGACCGAGCAGGACTGAGTGAGGTGACCCTCTCCCAGGCACGTTAGGCACAACGAGTGTCCATCAGTATTAGGGTATAAGTTGGGGCAGCTGGAGCACCGCTTAAATGACGTGGTCGCCATCTTTTAGCGGGACAAGCTAGATGGGGCCCCGAGAAAATCGTAGTCAACAGTCCGGGTCAATCGACGGCAAATAGGGCCCAAAACGCAATCCGATCTCTTAGTCCAAAACAGTCCAGTCAAATCCAAACAGTCCAGTAAATCCAAAAATCTCAAAGAAGCTCGCACGGAGAAAGAAGGTTCTCAGGCTACCGACAGGAGCGCGGAAAAGAGAACTGCTGGCTAGCCCCGCCCACGGGCTACTTATACTCGGGGAGAGGGTGGGCGGGTCTAGCTGGGGTCTGAATTGTTATTTTAAATTCTAGAAGGTTCCGAAGGCTGAACTGCGCAAGCGCATAAATACCAAATGTACGATTCACAGTGACTACGACAGGAAACACAGATTTTCTTTTGAAATTCTTTGGTGTGCTCCATTATGTAATGAATTTTGCAATATGATCCATAGTCACCCTTATTTTCTTGAATCCAGCTTGGACACTTGGCATTTTTCATTCCATATGTGGTAAAAGTCAATGTTAACATCACTTAAGCTTGAATGGGAAATTAATGCAGTGGTATTGAGGTTTCTGCAATCCTTGGGGTCTCCTTTCTTGAGTACTGGAATGTATATTGAGCATTTTCAATATGTGGGCCATCGTTTTGTTTTCCATATTTGTTGACTGATTTTAACCAGAAATAGAGGAGATTCAGTCTCTGTAGCTTGAAGCCGCTCTACTGTATGCCAACTACTCCTGATTCTTTATTTTTCCAGAGTGCTCTGAATGCAGTTCAAACTTCACTTTCTAAAACTTAAGATTCATCTTCATATGAGTTTTCCTTGAATTAATATCTCTTATTTTATACAGTTCTTCCACATATTGTTTACATCATCTTTTTATTTCTACTTGATCATGTAATGTGTCCCCCTGCTGGCCACAGATCATCATTTGATTTAAATTTCCCTTGGCTTTCTTAAATCTTGTGAAATAAGTCTCTTGTTCTTTTGTTGTTGTTATCACCTTCTATTCTCTGCATTGATTATTATAGTAGTTCTTTTTATTCCTGTACACAAGTCACTGAACAGTTGCATTTAGGGTTTTAACTCAATTTCTGTTTCCTATTTCTTTTGTTTCTTGCCTGTTCTTAACTGCTTGAAAAGTTTCAGACATCATTCATTGATGCTCCTTTTTGTTTTTGGCTGCAGACAGTATCTATTTGTATTCCTGCTTTATAATGTCAATTGCTTCAATTCATCTGGTTCCCCCAGTTGTTTAGACTTAACAGTGTGAATCTTTTTTTTTTTTACATTATCTTTAAATTTAGAAGGCATGTTTGTCAAATTGTATTTTGGCATGATAGTTTGTTTAGTCTTCTTTAGCTTTAATGCTTTTTTTATATATTAGTAGTTCATGATCTGTGCCATAGTTTGCTCCTGGATTTGTTTATACAGAAATGGAGCTTATCCATCTTCTACTTCAAATTATGCAGTCTATTTCATTTCCCTGATGTCTTATTGATATGATTTAGTCAGAATTACATTACAGTAAGCCCCTGGTACCCACTGAGGTTTATCCCATGAATATCAAAATATGTGGGTGTTTAAGTCCCATTATATAAAATAGCATAGTAAAATAGCGTCTCTTCCATAAAATGGCAACATCCTTTGGATTTTTAAAAAATATTTTCAAGTCCTGAATGAGTGAATCTCTGGGTGCAGAATCACTGGATACAGAAGGAAAATGTATACCCTCTGACTTCTTTTATTATATCTCTCCCCACTATTAATGCTAGCTTATTTCTTTTTAAGTTTTCCTTTTCTGAATGAAACATTGTATAATTATCTAACTCCATTTTAACTGGCTCAGCCCAAGTCCTGCAATGTTGATATGGGTTGTTGTAGGTTTTTTGGGCTACATGGCCATGTTCTGGAAGCATTCTCTACTGACGTTTATATGTTCCAGTTCTTTTTTTCCTCCATCCAGCTTCCCCTGATTCATGTCTCTCGTGTTCCATATTCCTATTGTATGTGTTACATAGCTTTGGACATTCTTTTAATATCTGACCATGTCAACAGCTGAACATACTTTCAGCTTAAGTCCATCTGCATCATTAGCCACAGCACTATTCACAACTGTCCACTGCTCTGCTCAGAAATCCTACACTATAGCAATATCTTAGCATAGTGATTTGCATCAACAAACAGTTAAATCCATGCAACATGCCAAAGGTCACTTTCATTTGTTTCACCCATAGCATACTGACTTGTAAAGCCATACATATTTACCTAGCCTCAAAAATGAGAAAAAATATAGCCAGAACAAGCAGAGGATTGGTGCAGCCAAGGCCTGATTCACAGCAGCGACATGGAGCTCCCTCTCGAGTTTTGCAGGAAGGAATGCATAGTACAGATTGTGTCGGTCAACTGTATGCTTCAGAAGCATATAAATTAAGCCTGAAATTTAAAAGAATGGCAGCGTTATTAAAATGTATAATACTGAAATACATTCCTGTCCTATTTTCCATCTCAAAAAGAGAACCTCTAAGATTTCTATACTAATCAGGTATCCAGAATTAAGACTCTATGTTAGTATATCATTATGACAAGTAGCACATTAAAGTATTCTAAATAAGCCAATTATGATCAAATTCAAGTTGAGTTTATTTTATGTATTAATGGTATATTTGTGTAGTTGTTAATCAACAGGATTTCTGTCAGCATTTGGTTAGAATGTGCTTGAGGAGTATAACTAATTTTTGATTGCTTAATATTTGTTAACATTAAATTTTGATTGCTTGAACATTATCACATTTGGTGTGCAGAGAGCAGGACATCCATTCATCTGAGTTTGTCTACAAAACAAAACAAAGAGAGGGCACACTGGGATCAATATTTTCTGCTGACAAATGCCATGCACCACTGTTAGACAAGTGAAGTCAGCAATTAGGAAGCACATTCTTCAATAAAAATGCATCCCATTGAGCACTGTTGCATATCTCATCAGAACTAAGTGCAAACTGAATTCAGTGGGAAATACTCTCAGGTACCTATCAATCTGCAGAAAAGTTTTATCTTAGTTTTGTCATGTTTTATATGAGAACATTAAATATGTAACTATGAATATCAATAGCAAGCAAAACTACACAAAAAAGCAAGGAATCTTAACCAAACTTCAGTGGCTACTCATATATTTGTCTGAAATTTTAAATAACAAAAAACCCTAACTTTTAAAACCTCAATAAAAAAATTTCCCAAAAGAGGTGAAAGCAATACTAAAAATTGTAAATGGGTTTATTAAGCTGGCTGGTATAACTATTTGTTCAATATATGTGGAAAAAAAGCAGAAAGCATGAAGTTGTGCACACATGTGTTGTTATTACCTAGGCATTACCATGGGTACTAGGAGGCCCCAGTGGCACAATGGGTTAAACCCTTGTGCTGCAAGGACTGAAGTCCAACAGGTCGGAGGTGTGAATCCAGGAAGAGCACAGATAAACTCTGCCAGCTCTAGCTCCCCATGTGGGGACATGAGAGAAGCCTCCCACAAGGATGGTAAAACATCAAAACATTCAGGCATCCCCTGGGCAACGTCCTTGCAGACGGCCAATTTTCTCACACCAGAAGCGACTTGCAGTTTCTCAAGTCGCTCCTGACACGAAAAAACAAACAAACCATGGGTACTAGTGTGCAATTCTACTTTGTGTATTTTAGTTACACTACACCTGACATCAAAACCCATTATTACTGCTACCCATGGAAATGATACTACATGAAGCAATATTTACATTCTACCAGATCAACCAGAATGTTCAAAACAGCACTAGTTCCTTCTTTCATGATATTTCTCAGGCCAGCAGTAGCATATCATTATCTTTTACCGGACTTTCCTAATGACTGTGAAAATCACAGATTTGCCCCTAAACAAACATTGGTTGATAACTTTTTTCTATACACATGCCTGGCAATGTTAACCTCCTAAAAAAATTTCTCTTAGGACATTAGAATCACAAATACTAGAAACAAGAACTATGACAACTATGGAAACAGGCTTGAAGAAATTTAATCTGGATGTACTTTAGTTGGGACAAACAGTTTGATGTCGGTCATGGAACATAACACCTCTGTTGTACTTAGGCTGAAATTGTCCTCAAATCATACAAGCAGAAATTCATAACATAATGATACAACTTATTATCCTCTTGTAATAATAATCAAAAGTAATTTTAATAATCTGGTTCAGCAACAACATTGATATAACTCTTAGATTTCCACATTTCTGTGATATGAGAAATGCAAAACATAAATTGAATGAAAGAGTGCAACTAAAATGATCAAAGGTCTGGAGACCATGCCCTATGAGGAGTGTCTTAAAGAGCTGGTATGTTTGGCCTGCAGAAGAGAAGGTTGAAAGGAGACATGATAGCCATGTATAAATATGTGAAAGGGTGTCATAAGGAGAAGGGAGACGGCTTTTCTGATGCCTTGAAAAGTAGGACTTGGAGCAATGCACTCAAATTACAGGAAAGGAGATTCCACCTGAACATTAGGAACAGCTTCCTGACTGTAAGAGCTATTCAGCACTGGAACTCTCTGCCTTGGACTGTGGTGGAAGGAAGCTCCTTCCTTGGAAGCTTTTAAACATAGGCTGGATGGCCATTTGTTGGGCTGCTTTGATTGTGTTTTTCCTACATGGCAGGAGGTTGGACTAGATGACCCATGTAGTCTCTTCCAACTCTATTATTCTATGATTTTATGAAAGAATAAATGAATACATGTATCAATAGCTCTTCCACCAGAAGACTCTTGTTTCATTACAATCCAAACTCACTGACCAACTTACCAAATGGGACAATAATGGGGCAAGTAATGCTGTAAGCCATGATGACTGTGAAAACACACAATGTCCCAGCATACATTGCTCCAAACTCAAATTGATAAGCTTGTTGCTACAAGGAAATAAAAATCTATAGTCAGTGCTGCCAAAAATTAAATGTGACCTTTATTCTTTTTTAATTACAAATTTATCACTACTTGTGTTAAAAATGATCTGTCCATACAAGACACTGAGTTTTGAAAATATGCATTAGTACAGAAGTCATTCACCTATTAAATTTAAATATTTGCATAGACCGAGGAAAAAAGTAAAAGAGGGTCAATGTATTGACTTGTTTAATTGAGAGCACAGAGTCATGTGAAGAGGCTGCTCAGATCAACCTGACACTCACACTACAGAAGTAAATGAAAAACCAGATATATAATTAAACATCCTCAAATTTTGAAGTGACTGGCTGAGAAGACCAAGTTGCAGTCTTCCATGTGATAACTATTGAGGACTGTTTCTGTTAAAACAGTGGTTCTTAACCTGTGGGTCCCCAGACGTTTTGGCCTTCAATGCCCAGAAACCCTAACAGCTGGTAAACTGGCTGGGATTTCTGGGAGTTGTAGGCCAAAACACCTGGGGACACACAGGGTGAGAACCACTGCCCTACAGGCATGAGATCCTCTCTGAACCTGGAAACCAAGCAGGTATACCCTGGTAACTACATGGATAGGGAAAGACCAATATATACAAGATGCTGCAGATTAAACTCAGGACCCCTTTTGGTCAAAGAAATTTATACATGACTCCAAGTATAGAGGTATATAAATAAATTAGGCATAAAAATTAAACATTTACTGATAACAAATCATCATCCCCAAGGCTTGCTAAACAGGTTGATTTTCCTTTTTATGATATACAGCTGAAGCATCTTCTGCAGTCCACTGTAAAGACTGCACAACAGGTTTGTGTAAATGTCTAAAATAGTCAATAATTGCATTCAATAAAAAATTCTGGGATCCCAACATTGAGATAAGGGGACTCCATTTGGAGTTGGGACCCACAGTTTAAAAAGCAGTGCTTTAGAATGTATTTCAGAGGAAGGAACTTACAAAAAGCACTTCTGAGTATGCCTTCCCTAAGAAAACCTGATGAGATTGTCATAAATCGGGTGACTTGAAGGCACACACACAATTATGCTACCTTAGAAGGTCATCAGAAAGCTTTTGTACCTGCTTGACATTTTTTCTCTCTGAAGCAGATTTGGCTAGAATCATACGAATGGTATATAGCATGAGGCCTGGCAAACGCAGCAGCTCCATCCCATTGCCAATAAATGACGATGCAATCACATAGTTTACAAAAAATGCTCCTTGATCAGGGAGAAAGACACACCTGCCAGTTGAAAAAGAAGGAATAAGAAGGTATGCAACATCAGACCTTCTGCTCAGTTGTACTCTAATCTTGAACATTCATCCCTGGTTCTTGGGTTTAGGGGCAAAGGACTCTCTCTCACAAGTGTGGAAAATCCACTCACTCACCCTCCTTGACTTTTCCTCCCACAACTAACCACTAATAAAACAAATTGTTTTGAATGGTACTGGGCTTTCCTTTACTGGATGGATTAAAGCAGATTATGAAAAAGCATCTGTTGAGGATGCTGTAGGTACATCCTGCATTGAGTAGGGAACTGAACTAGATGACTTACAAGATTTCTTTCCATTCTGGCAGTCTACTTGCACCTAAAAGTCCCCTTAGGGAGATAGGGCGAGCTATAAAGGTTATTATTATTATTATTATTATTAATATGCATTTATTTTCTTCATTTCTACCTCGCCTTTCTCAACCCGGAAGAGACTCAAGGCAGCTTACAAATCTGGCAAAAATTCAACGTTGCACAGGTAAACATCTTATCAAAATCTAAAACAATCTAAACATATAGCAATTAAAATCAATCAAAACGATGATGATGATGATGATTATTATTATTATTATTATTAAACTACAGACAACACAGAGTTTGTTTTTTCCTGGATTACTTCCAAGAGGTTAAAACTTTGAATCACTCTTTAGTGTTGATTGCAACACAATGCAATTATATTCCTTGGATTTTCAGAATTTAAGACGATACTCACTTTCCAAGGGTAAGCAAATGATGTATTTTTATGGTTCCATACTGAAAATACCAGCAAATTTACATAATCCGGTCAGATAAGAAAAGGTTAAAAAGTGTCTTTAAGATACTTACTCCAATCTAATTCTGGATTCAGATGCTTGGTCAAACACCCAACGAAAGAAGAAATCAAGACTAGAAGAAATATCACCAATTAGCCAAAAGAACAACATGCTCATGGGTGTATCCAGATTAATTTAATAATTTTATTTGTTTTTCAGTTTTGAATATAAAAAAATCAAGATACATTTATGTCTAATGACCAAAATTAATATTTCTGGAAAAATCTGAGAGAGGAATCTCTCTGGTGTGAATCTTATTGTTAGTTCCAACTAGAGCAGACCAATTAAAATCAATAAGACCTGCACAGGCACATATTAACTCTTTAACAAATGATTGAATGGCTTAACTTTAGTTGAGAGTACTAACAAATTTCAAGTCACAAACTTTTTAGTTAATAAACAAAAACTTACTCTAACTTAAAAGCAGCTGTGAATGGCTCAGATTTTCACTGCAACAGAGGTTCTGGTGTAAACAAGAGTTAACACTTTCACCTACTAGTAAGATTGCCCCAGTCACTCTATGGAGATGCCTGTGTTTCTTCCTCTAAGTCAGTGGTTCCCAACCTTTGGTCCTCCAGGTGCTTTGGACTTCAACTGCCACAAATCCTAACAGCTGGTAAGATAGCCAGGACTTCTGGGAGTTGACGTCCAAAACATGTGGAGGCCAAAAGGCTGGGAACCACTGCTCTAAGTGCTAGTAGCTACAGCAATGGGAGGTGAAGGGAACAGGGGGGAGTGTTTTGTCTTGGAAAATGGCATAAGAGGGAGGATTACCTGATTAAAATCCCACTCATCCTTTACAACTTCTAAAGTTATGAAAGAAAAATCTGACTGTGATTACATTTGCTGTGTCATCTCTGGCTTGGGTTTAAGCTTCACTGAACACAAGTAACTTAAAAAAATGATTTCTCATTACAGAAAGACAGAAGAAAGCGATCTGTTTGGTGCAACAAGTACTATCATGATAGGTTTCAAGATTACATACAGGCAGTCCTTGGATTACAAAAAGCTGACTTACAAATGACTCATAATTAAGAATGGGGTGAGACAACAGGAAGTGAGAGAAATCTACCCCTAGGAAGGGAAATTCACTCCTGGAAGAGTATCATGGGGTCCAGTGAAGCTTTATAACAATCCTTGTTTCCACAACAAGCCAAATTTTTCAAAATTCAATTATCACAGGGACAGAAAGTGAGGTGAAATCTTCTGAACAGGGGCAAAGGAGGCAACACAAACACCACAGAAGTGTTAACACTTCTGTATGCTATCTAAAGATAGATAAATAGATAGATGATAGATAGATAGATAGATAGATAGATGGAGATACACTTAAAATGTATGTGTTCTGACTTACATACAAATTCAACTTAAGAACAAACCTGCGGAACCTATCTTGTTATTAAGTTGGGGACTGCCTGTATATAGATATACTCATACAGTGCCTGGTAGAGATGTTCATATTTCTTGTCCATGTTTTCTTACATTAAAATAAGAACAAGATTACATTGATTAGTTGAGTACTTATTCACCCCAGTCAACACCTTCTAGAAACATGAAAGGGATGAACACAATTATGCAGCCAACCATTGCCAGTTTTCATCTGCTTAAATTTTGCACCATAATAATATTACACCTCCACAGTTATGTTTATCTTGTGTGTATCAAATGGAAACACTTCCAATTAAATCCATTTCAATTCCAAATTGTAATACAATAAAATGTAGAAGCTAGCTCAAAGCCGAAAGGAAGGCTAGCGGCCGACGGTACTGGAGGTGAACGACGAATCCGATGCTCTAAAGATCAACACACCATAGGAACCTGGAATGTAAGATCTATGAGCCAGGGCAAATTGGATGTTGTTATTGGTGAGATGTCAAGACTAAAGATAGACATTCTGGGGGTCAGCGAACTGAAGTGGACTGGAATGGGCCACTTCACATCAGATGACCACCAGATCTACTACTGCGGACAAGAGGAACATCGAAGAAATGGAGTAGCTTCATAATTAATAAGAAATTCGCTAAAGCGGTGCTTGGATACAACCCAAAAAATGACAGAATGATCTCAATTCGAGTGCAAGGAAAGCCTTTCAACATTACAGTGATCCAAATATACGCCCCAACCACAGCTGCTGAAGAAGCAGAAGTAGATCAGTTCTATGAGGATCGGCAGGACCTACTGGATAATACACCAAAAAGAGACATTATTTTCATTACAGGAGACTGGAATGCCAAGGTGGGAAGTCAAATGACAACTGGGATCACAGGCAAGCATGGTCTGGGAGAACAAAATGAAGCGGGACGCAGGCTGATAGAATTTTGCCAGGAAAACTCGCTGTGTATAACGAATACTCTCTTCCAACAACCTAAAAGACGGCTTTACACATGGACCTCACCAGACGGTCAACACCGAAATCAGATTGACTACATCCTTTGCAGCCAAAGGTGGCGGACATCCATCCAGTCGGTGAAAACAAGACCTGGGGCTGACTGTAGCTCAGATCACGAACTTCTTACTGCCCAATTTAGAATAAAACTAAAGAGATCAGGGAAAATACACAGACCAGTTAGATATGATCTCACTAACATTCCTAGCGAATATACAGTGGAAGTGAAGAACAGATTTGAAGGACTAGATTTAGTAAACAGAGTCCCAGAAGAACTATGGACAGAAGTCCGAGACATTGTTCAGGAGGCGGCAACAAAGTCCCAAAGAAAAAGAAAACCAAGAAGGCAAAATGGTTGTCTGCTGAGACACTGGAAGTAGCCCAAGAAAGGAGGAAAGCAAAAGGAAACAGGGATAAGGGGAGATATGCCCAGTTAAATGCGCAATTCCAGAGGTTAGCCAGAAGAGATAAGGAACTATTTTTAAATAAGCAATGCATGGAAGTTGAAGAAGACAACAGAATAGGAAGGACAAGAGACCTCTTCCAGAAAATTAGAAACATTGGAGGTAAATTTGAGGCAAAAATTGGTATGATAAGAAACAAAGATGGCAGGGACCTAACAGAAGCTGAAGAGATCAAGAGAAGGTGGCGAGACTATACAGAAGATCTGTATAGGAAGGATAATAATATTGAGGATAGTTTTGACGTGTGGTGAATGAATTAGAACCAGACATCCTGAGGAGTGAGGTTGAATGGGCCTTAAGAAGCATTGCTAACAACAAGGCAGCAGGAGATGACGGGATCCCAGCTGAACTCTTTAAAATCTTAAAAGATGATGCTGTCAAGGTGATGCATGCCATTTGCCAGCAAATATGGAAAACACAAGAATGGCCATCAGACTGGAAAAAATCAACTTATATCCCCATACCAAAAAAGGGAAATGCGAAAGACTGCTCAAACTTCCGTACAGTGGCCCTTATTTCTCATGCCATTAAGGTAATGCTCAAGATCCTGCAAGGAAGACTCCAGCAATACATGGAGCGAGAGTTGCCAGATGTTCAAGCTGGGTTTAGAAAAGGCAGAGGAACGAGAGACCAAATTGCCAATATCCGCTGGATAATGGAGAAGGCAGGGAGTTTCAGAAAAACATCTACTTCTGCTTCATTGACTATTCTAAAGCCTTTGACTGTGTGGATCATAATAAATTGTGGCAAGTTCTTAGTGGGATGGGCATCCCAAGCCACCTTGTCTCTCTCCTGAGGAATCTGTACAAGGACCAAGTAGCAACAGTAAGAACTGACCACGGAACAACAGACTGGTTCAAGATTGGGAAAGGCGTACGGCAAGGCTGCATCCTCTCACCCAACCTTTTTAACTTGTATGCAGAACACATCATGCGATGTGCGGGGCTGGATGAATGCAAGGCTGGGGTGAAAATTGCTGGAAGAAACATTAACAACCTCAGATATGCAGATGACACCACTCTGATGGCCAAAAGCGAGGAGGAGCTGAGGAGCCTTCTAATCAAGGTGAAAGAAGAAAGCGCAAAAGCCGGGTTGCAGCTAAACAAAAAAACCAAGATTATGGCCACAAGAAAGATTGACAACTGGGAAATAGAGGGAGAAAACGTGGAGGCAGTAACAGATTTTGTATTTCTAGGTGCAAAGATTACTGCAGACACAGACTGCAGCCAGGAAATCAGGAGATGCTTACTTCTTGGGAGGAGAGCAATGTCCAATCTCGATAAAATAGTGAAGAGTAGAGACATCACACTGGCAAAAGATCCGCCTAGTCAAAGCCATGGTATTCCCTGTAGTAACCTACGGATGTGAGAGCTGGACCTTAGGGAAGGCTGAGCGAAGGAAGATCGATGCTTGTTGAGCTGTGGTGTTGGAGGAAAGTTCTGAGAGTGCCTTGGACTGCGAGAAGATCCAACCAGTCCATCCTCCAGGAAATAAAGCCCGACTGCTCACTGGAGGGAAGGATACTAGAGACAAAGTTGAAGTACTTTGGCCACATCATGAGGAGACAGGAAGCCTAGAGAAGACAATTATGCTGGGGAAAGTGGAAGGCAAAAGGAAGAGGGGCCGACCAAGGGCAAGATGGATGGATGGCATCCTTGAAGTGGCTGGACTGACCTTGAGGGAGCTGGGGGTGGTAACGGCCGACAGGGAGCTCTGGCGTGGGCTGGTCCATGAGGTCACGAAGAGTCGGAGACGACTGAACGAATGAACAACAACAAAATGTAGAAAAGTCAGAAGGGACTAAAATTTCTGTAAAGCACTCTGTGTATTAAAATCTCTTTTCAACCATAGCTAGAACACTAGAGTTCTAAGTCCCCTTTTACCTTGTCAACCCAAGTGAAGGCAGAATTAACACCATGAAGATCAGAAATGTGTAAACTTTATGCATCATTATTCTGTTTTCACCAGATCTATTTAAAAAAAAGAAGAAGTGCATTTTAGTCAAAAATGGTCTTCTTTCCATTTTTCTACTTAAGGTTTTGGAAAAATCCATTCTCAAAATACTAAAAACAAGGAACTGACCAATTACCCAGTCAATTTAAAAATGCTACCAAGTTACGATATAATGCCATAAGCATTTGAAGAGCACTATTACAAAAGGTCCACTAGAAACACACGCGGTACATCTGTGTGTGCTTCTATAAGTCAAATGTACAAATCAAATGGATTATGTACCAAACAAAAAATGCCACACATTAGACCCCAGCAATCAGAATGCCATAACTTTACAATTTAAAAGAAAATTTTGTTCAATTGAAAAGTAATGTTTCCTAAGGCTTTAGTTCCTGCCTTTGGACATCAGGTTAAAGAAAACTGACTATTAACTATACACTGAATTTAGACAAAAATAAGCTTGTGATTTGCAGTTTACTTTCTATAAAATCTGAACATTACTCTGCTTCTTCTTGTTATTATTGCTTACTTTAAAATAATTTTGAAAACTTTAACCAGTGAAAAATAAAATAAAAACCCTCTTACCTTGTCCAATGTGATTCAAATATTGTTGAGTAATAAACTATAGTTGGTAGTAAAGCTGAAAAGGACCACAGAAGGACTGTTGGGAAGAACTGGCTAACAACAGGATTCTGAGGAAAAGGGGAAAAGAGAGGGGAAATGTAGTCTAGTTCTGAAAGTATTTCTGCTGTATTTGGTTTTTAAATAAAACAGCTCAAGGTTGAGTTGTGGAGAGACTGAAATTCTGCTTAAGATTTGTCAAAAAGTTTGTATAGTGGATTAATACAGGGTTTCTGAATAGTAACTACCATCATTGAGAAAGATCCTCTAATGCAGTGGTTCTCAACATGTCAGTTCCCAGGTGTTTTGGCCTACAACTCCCAGAAATCCCAGCCAGTTTACCAGCTGTTAGGATTTCTGAGAGTTGAAGGCCAAAACATCTGGGACCCACAGATTGACAACTACTACACTAAAGAAAGGTTAGACTACTTGATGCCCTTCATATGTATGGGCCTACAGTACCAAGAATCCTCATCCAGATGTACTAGATAATAATAATTACTACTACTACTACTACTACTACTACTTTATTCTTGTATCCCACTACCATCTCCCCGAAGGGACTCGGGACAGCTTACATGGGGACTATGCCCAATAAAAACAAAATAAAATATAGCACAATTAAAATATATTGTATTTCAATAATTAAAACAAAAACTGAACAACTTCATAAAAACATAAGAACAACAATAACTATCAACCAGTAGCCAAGAACAGTGGGCTTGAAATACAGCTATAAAGGTAGGGCGGATAATAAAGTACTACAAGGCCAGACAATGAGTTAGGGCTAGGGAGACCTAGTCAATAGATGAACCAATTAATCAAAGGCACGGTGAAACATCCAAGTTTTCAAGTCTTTACGGAAGATGGACAGGATGCGCGCTAATCTAATATCCCTAGGGAGAGAGTTCCAGAGCCGGATGGCCACCACCGAGAAGGCCATCTTCCTCATCCCCACCAACTATGCTTGTGACGGAGATGGAAGAGAGAGTAGGTACAGGTGCTGATACCTGGCAATCTAAAACACCTTGATGCTGTCAAGCTGACTAATTTTTTTCTAATTGGTATATTTATTGTAAATGGTTACACAATTTTCAACACATGTATATCTTCCTAGCTCTGCAGACAACTAGGCCAAATATTAAAGGCAAGAAAAACAATTTAAGACAATAATTGCCCAATCTTACTTTATATGATTAAACTTCTGCTATGGCACAGAGAATAATAGATGGTGAAACTCAGATACACAATGCACTACTCACATTGAGATAATGAATAGGTTGGGTTACATTGAACTTGTCCATTGTTGTGATAATGATAGAAGGTGTGGTCAGGAAAAAGAGCACAAGAAAAAGGAGCAAATTGATGAGCAGACACCAAAACCACCACCTTATGCCTCGGACTGAGAGATTACTCCTGTCAACCAAAAACAGACATTAGACTATAAACATTTATATATGGCAATATTGACAGAAGAGTTGTTTTGCTTAACAGGCCTACTACTCTTCCCCTCCCATCAGCAACCCAGCAAACACAGAATCTTGATTAAGAAATGCAGAAAACCAAAATTTATTGAAAAATCGCATTTGGAGCATTAGATTCTTTAGGGGAGGGAATGTTTACCAAGGGAGAAAAAAGAGAGTTTCAATCAGAATTATTATGTTCATTTATACCCCACTTTTTCTCTCCACAAGAAGACTCAAAGCAGCTAGAACTTACAAGTAGAAAGAGTACGTTATGCTTCTAGATATAACTCTCTTAAAGGAGAGAAAAAACATCAGAATTCTCTTCATACAAATACAGGCAGTCCCTGAGTTACAAACATCTGACTTACAATTGGACCCATAGTTAAGAAGAGGGGTGAGACAAAAGGCAGTGAGAGAAATCTACACCTAGGAAGGGATATTCAGTTATGGAAGAGTTATCATGGAGAAAAGATGTCTCCACTGAAGCTTTATCACCAATCCTTGTTTCCACAACAAGCCACATTTTTCAAAATCCAATTATCACAGGGAGAGAAAGTGAGGTGAAATCTTCTGAACAGGGACACAGACAGCAGAGCAAACACCACAGGGGTGTTAACGCTTTCCTATGCTACACAAAGCTAAAATATATATTGTTTTGGCTGGAGTTACACTTTAAAAATGTACCTATTCCAACATAAAACAACTTCAACTTAAGAACAACCCTAAAGAATCTTTCTTGTTCTTAACTTGGGGACTACCTGTAGTCTTGTACCATTCTCCATATTTCCTGTTTAGCTGGACTGAATTAAATCTCACAGGCTTAGTGATAAAGTATCCATCAGTTCACTTGTTGCCCTTTAAAGAAGTCTCTTTTTACACAGTTTTGGATGTAGAAAACATGCACTGTTGGATCACGGCCACAGGATCCCTTAGAAATTGTCACAGTAGCTTATAAATTGATTGAAAGTAATTTATATTTTCAGAGGAACCACTAGTGGGATTGGTTTACAACTTCAATAGCAGAGCTGCTCAAAGCTTTAAATTTTTTATAACAAAATGAAGTGTCTCCTCTCTCCATCCTGGACACACTCTACGTCCCAATTACACACTTGTACATTACTTTCTGATAGGTACTGTACATAGAGATAAACACATATGCACTCTGCATGCAAGTAGAAAAATATGTCCTGAAAGTACAACAAACCCAACTTTGTACTTTCATTTCTTTCAGATAGGATGTAAGGAAAAACATCAAAAAAATTACCAACAAATATCCTCTGGATAGGTAGCATATGCAACATTCCATCTTGAGATGCAGAGTTCTTTGCTATGAGCTGATGGCTGAGGCTCTCCTGTACATCTGTAGCCTTGACATTTACAGGCATTGAAATCTTTAATAACACTACAGTAAAATAAAACAAATTTAGCTCTTTAAAGGTTTGAAATGCTCAGTATGAACTAAGAAATTTATAAGCCATGACAATCAACCCCAATCATAGCATTCTACGTGTGCTTCAATATTCCTTGTCCAGAGTTGAGCAGTCAAATTGGCTTTCTTGAGGAATAATTGTGTAAGCAAAGAAACAATTCATATTTGGGAAATATAATATTACATTATGCTGCCCATGCAAGATGAAACCACGAACTGCTTTGGCATGTAATCATAGATTTGTATTTCATTCTATCGAAAATAAAAATTATTGGCTGCAATATTGAATTTAAAAAACAAGAACTTACTGTGTTGCCATGGATTTCTCCAGGAATGTTACAAAAGCCATCCCCAATGACTTATTATAGACGGTCTCTTTCTCTTTCAAATATTCTTCCAGATATTTATTGCTAACCCTTGTGTAGTACTCAATAGCATCCTCCTGTTGGACAGCAGACTGCTATTACAAATTGGTGCTTAGCTGTGCATACAGTTATTTAAACATCATGTTGAACTATTCTTTTTACAGTGTTGGAAAATCTATCACTAAAACTTAATGGAAATGTTCAAAGTCTTAACTGGACATAAATATGTTAAATTCCAAATAACGGTAGTTTAAAGGGAAAATAAATTTTACCTATATAAAAAAGCCAACAATGTAGTTTAAACACAAAACTATTGGGAGAACTTTTGACTTTTATAATGCTATCAGAAAACAAACAAGAAATAAAACTGGCTTAGGGCTCGCAGTATGTATAATGGAACATAGTAAACCCAAACAGAACAATAGCAGAAACAAGATCATCAGTATTCCAATGATAGAATTGATTCCTACAATTAAAATTTGTCAAAATTGGTGAAATCCCACGGGTTGTATACATCAGCAAAATAATCCAGACACAATTCAGAGTATTTTGCCTCAGAGGTGCCCTGGATTCACCCCATTAGCACCACACTTACTTGCAATATACTACACTAAAATTGTACTCCAGATTGGACTACTGCAATGCGCTCTACGTGGGGCTGCCCTTGAAAACGGCTCGGAAATTCCAACTGGTCCAACGGGCAGCAGCCAGGATGTTAACCGGGGCTCCTTACAGAGAGAGGTCAACCCTCCTGTTCAAGGAGCTCCACTGGCTGCCATTTATTTTCCGAGCCCAATTTAAGGTGCTGGTGCTTACCTACAAAGCCCTGAACGGTTTGGGACCAGCCTACCTGCGTGATTGCATCTCCGTCTACGAACCCACACGTTCACTTCAATCATCTGGAGAGGCCTTGCTCGTGATCCCGCCTGCGTCGCAAGCGCATTTGGTGGGGACACGAGACAGGGCCTTTTCTGTGGTGGCCCCCCGACTCTGGAACACCCTCCCCAAAGATCTTAGACAGGCCCCTACATTGGCAGTCTTTAGAAAGAACTTGAAGACCTGGCTGTTCTGATGTGCCTTTCCAGAATAGGAATCTCCAATACCAAGTCCCAGAAGCACTTTATTAGAACTAAGATTGCTGCACACTGCACACTGCACTTGCCCTATAATCCTTATATACCACCTGTCACATCAGCACTTTTAATCCTGTACCCATTACTCTGGCCCGGCCCAGTTTTATTGTGTCTTAGTGTATTGTTTATTGCTTGTTGTTTATATTGCTTTAATTGTTTTTAATTTGCCTTAGGTTTTGTATTGTTATATTGTGTGTTGAGGCCTTGGCCTTTGTAAGCCGCATCGAGTCCTTCGGGAGATGCTAGCGGGGTACAAATAAAGTTTAATAATAATAATACTGATAAACACATTTTTGCCCTGCCAAAATTCAGATTGCCATAATTTTTCCCCCTCAGAAGCCATCAACACCGTTGCACAAGCCCTCGTGACTGACATTCCCTCCCTTGCTTATTAGATCTATTTCTGTTGAAGAATATTATGACCTGGGACAGCCCAAATGTGCAACATCTGGCTGAAGGGGGAGAGTAAAAAAGAAAATGTGAGCAAAGGCCATTTGGTAATTTCATCTTCTCACTGATTTCAACATGAGTGCATTGGGACTCTCATAGCTAAATAATTAAATGAGACATGCCACATTATCACAGGATGTCTATGCCCCACACCACTGGAGAAATTACACTGTTTAGCTGGTATTGCACCACTTGACATCCACAGGGAAGTAGCAGCCAACAATCAAAGGACCAAGGCAGTGACATCTCTGGCCCATCCTCTGTTCAGGTATCAGCTAGCATGCCAATGCCTTAAATCAAGAAACAACTTCCTAAGATCTACAGAAATACTCACATGAACACCTCAGCAAGCAAGAGTCCAAAAGTAGCAGGTTAAAACCCAGAACCTCAATCAGTGGCTAAGACCGAATGAGAGACTCCCTCCTGAGCACACAGAAGAGTGGACAACCTGGAAAGTGCTGAACAGGCTGCACTCTGGCACCGCAAGATGCAGACCTAACTTTAAGAAATGGGGCTACAAAGTAGAGTCCACAACATGCGAGTGCGGAGAAGAGCAAGCCACAGGCCACCTACTACAATGCAACCTGAGCCCTGCCACATGCACAATTTCACCTACTTCACCAAATTTCCTGGTGAAGTAGGAATGCCCAGGAACACTCTACTTTGTTAACTGATGTACTGTATACCTGAAATGTTCTACAGTTTTAGCCTAAGCATTCAACAGCCTCTTACCTGTTCACAACCTCTGACTTCACAACAGCAGAACTGGCCACATGGTTTTGTGTGTATGGAAATTCGTTTACCAAATCTCTCAAACATTTGGGTATAATAATCCACGCTTTTCTCTGCCTGTTTTCTGGGCACAAGCAGAGAGGATTCTTTATAAAACAACACTACAGTCATTGTCTTACGCGTACCTTATTTTCTTCCCAAGCAAGAATAGACAAAGTAACAAAACAGCCAGACATTTTGAATCAAAGTAATACATGCTGAAATATCTAGTCCCCTGTTTTGCAAATTCAGTTTCTCCAAATGTTTTGGACTTCAGCTCTCATAATTCCTAACAGCTGGTAAACCGGTTGGGATTTCTGGGAGCTGAAATCCAAAACACCTGGAGGAGCAGAGTTTGAGAAATACTGATCTAGTCAATCTACAGGAGCTTGATTTATAAGATTTGCAGATCAGCAAACCGGGATGCTGGATTGCCTTCCTGTTTGAGCAAGAAACCTCACAAAATCCATGTCCATGCTATTTCTTTCACAAAATGGTAATGATCTATTAACTGGTCTTGGGTCTGTCTCCACCTAGGCACTAACTTGATTTCCCCTCAACAAAGTCCATACTTAAAATATGAAGGTAACTGATTGTTCCTGAAACTGCCAGTCATGGGAGATTTTTGAGAATATATGACAGTTTTCTGAGGAGAACAGATGACAGTTTCCCTTGCTCGCTGTCTCTGGGATAGGTGCCTTTGGGACACCCAATGCCCAAGGTGTTAATTAGTTAATGGTTAATTAATTATTGGTTTAGAAAATGACTTGAAATGGCTTGTGCAAGTCTGTATCTCACTGGGACCAACTGCAGACACGTCTTGCTTCCAAGATTCCCTGGTGGTCTATGATCAAAAATGGCTCCCTTTACTAAGGCAAAGGGGTGGACAAAATAGTACAAACAAGTAAGGGTTTTCTTAAACTCCACCCTCATAAAGCTAATATAAAAGACTACTCTAAAACTGTGGGTGAGGAAGCCTGGCAAAAGGAACTGGAACTTATACAGTTCCAGCACAGAACTCAAGGAGACATAAATACAGAATTGCCTCATTGCACATTCCTTACAAGTTGTCGTTGCTGTTGTTGCTGCTGCTGCTGTTGTTGTTATTATTATTATTAGCAGCAGCAGCAGCAGCAGCATCAACATCACTGCCATCATTATCTTTATTTATATAGTATCATCACAGGAAAAAGGTGATTTAAGGAGCTAGGAATATTTAGCCTGAAGAAGAGAAGAGCTGACATGATAGGGTGAAACATATTCTCTGGGGCTAGGACACAGAGCAATGGATTCAAACTAGGAGAAAAGAAATGCCACCTAAACATCAAGAAGAACTTCCTTATGGTAAAGAGTTGTTCAACAATTGAATACTAGGAGTGTGGTGGAGTCTGGTCCACTCTTGGAAGTTTTTAAGCTGAGGATGGATGGCCGTCTGACAGGGTTGCTTTGATTGTGTGTTCCTGCATGGCAAAGGTTGGGCTGGATAGACCTTGTGATCTCCAACTCTATGATTCTATACTGTTCGTGGTGCTTTACAAGGAAAAGAACAACAAAGCAGTTTCCTGTCTTAAGGCATACCATCTAAAGGTGGCAATAATAATAACTGTAGTACCTGATGTGTATATCATCAAGAGAGAAACCCGAGAGAGGCATATGCATGCAACTGCAGTCATTTTGTTCAAGATTTACCATGGCCCAAAGATTAAGAACCAGAATAATCAAAGACTGGGAGAACATCTAAGATCAGGAACGGCGAGTCTTTATAAATGTGCATTTCTCCCTGGAATTAATGTGCTTTGTTATATTTTAAAATGTACTCTGAGTTGTCTCAAGACTCAAAAACTATTGGTATATTGTGCTCAGAACCCAAAGAATTAAACTAATGGTCTTGCACTTTAAAAAATTACACCCGCCAACACACATTTTGGTGCATCTTATGTTAACTCTGTTTGTGGTTATATTTGACCTGCTGATTCCAAAAATGGCACCGGTTTCCCCACTATAAGCTTTAGTTTTTGAGACACAGAGCATATGACATCTACTAGTCGCCACCTGCTCACCCATAGAAAACCATGATAACCATATCTAAGAAATTAGAGCTGATATTCTGAATCAGCGCCCCAAAGAACCCTAAGAACAGGTCTAAAAACCAAGACATGAAGAAAACATTTTTGTTTGCTTGGCTGTGTTCTATATAGATATGCAATGAATAAAGTCATTCTATTACAAAAAGTACATTTCATAAATGAATTTAGTCTTCTGTAAAAAAAATCACAACACTGCACCAACAAAAAAAAAATAAACTAATTTCTACTCTACTTCAAACATTCTGCAATTGCAGGCTTCATCTCCTCTGTTTACTGTGCTATCTTTTATTACAACAATCAAACATTTATTTATTTACGACATATATATCCCACCCTTCTCACCCCAAAGTGAAATAGTATGTAATGCACGATTCTGCAAGTCAGAAATCATGTCAGTGCTAACAAAGATAGCAAAATCAACTTGGTATTTATAATTCTAATACAAGGATTCTTTGTAACATATTTCAGAGCTAATCTAGTGTGAGTTCACCTGACATTATTTATTTAAAATACCTCTCTTGGTATAGATAGGTGAGTTTGGATACATCATAACATAATTGGACCTCTTGGACAAGACAGGTTGGATATGCTGAACTGCAAAGGAACAAAGTAGATGGGTTATAACAGACTACAATAAGATAAAAGATTGTTTATCAAAGTGCATTCCAGCACTGATAACAAAAACAATACAAATAAAAAACACATAAAACTCAAGTCTAAAGAAACAAGACAGATTTATAATTGACATACCTAAGCAAAATTGCTTCCTGAATACAGGACAATTAAGACAAATCACAGCAGCACATGTCGCAGCACCAGAGTTAGCATAAACCTGCCTGTACTTGGACACAGACCTGCATGGCTATTCTAATGTTTTCAACTATGTTCTGGAAAGCTCCCTCTGCTTGTCCCCCCCTTACACAAATTCAGTCTTTTACCACAGTTCCTCTCAAACAGGTGCCTCCAGCAGGCAGTTCAGGCAAATTAGGTCTATCTTAAAGTTAAGAACCTAGTGGCCATCCCTCCACTGCTGCATGAACATGTGGGACAAACATGCAATACAAGGCTGGAACAGATTCTGCTGCTAAAATTATAATCTATTTTTATTAACATACTTAAAAGGGTATGTTATGGTCAAATGAATTTAAAATGAATTTTTTTTCATTAAACAAAAGTTTAGTTATTATTGAAAAACTTACACAAAGTGATTTTCGATTGATGTTGTCTTGGCATTTGGGGGAATACCAGTTATGAACAATGTACGTTTTACCTACAGAACAACAACAATGAAGTTTCTCAAAGATAGTGAACCAGAGAAAAAACCTTACAGGTATATTACACACACCCAAATGTATATGCAGCCTTCCCTCACTTATCGTGGGGGATTATGTTCCAGAACCATCCACAATAAGTGAAAAATTGCAAAATAGGGGCGCCCCCTCCCCTCCTTACCCTCTTTACCTTCATCTTCCCCCTCCTTGTCGCCGCCTGGGCCTCTTGCCTCCTCTTGGCGGAGGTGTTGCGGGGCCCAAGCAGTGGCAAGAGGTCCTGGTGGTAACCACGAGGAGAAAGAGGGAGGTAAAGAAGGCGAAGGGGGAGGAAGAGCCACCGCCTCGCCCTGTTTACCTCTCTCCTCCTGGTCACCGCTGGGGCCTCTTGCTGCCAAGTGGTAGCAAGAACCCCCGGCGGTGACCACAAGAGGAAGAGGGAGGTAAACAGGGCGAGGGGGGAGGAAGAGCTGCCCCCTCGCCCTGTTTACCTCCCTCCTCCTGGTCGCCGCTGGGCGTACAGTGTTCCCTCGCTACATATATAAATATATATATACACGCAAAACAGCGAGTCCACAGTAAGTGAACCGCGAAGTAGCGAGGGACCACTGTATAGTTCAGTCAGCCACACAGTCTAAGGAAATATGAAATATTTAACACATATATGATCACATTTTAAAATATATATATGATAGAAGAAGACAAAAACCAAGGCTACTGTTGTGATGCCTAAATGCAGCCTTGTTTAGATAATGTATTTCCTTAGCTGGCCATTTTAATATTAATTCAAAATCAAGGAGGTTGCTGTAACCCATATGTACAAATTCAGCAGATATCACATAAGTAACTTGTTGACATGTCATCCCTTAACTAACTACAATGTTGGTAGGAAGTATTGCCCCCCTTATAAATATGGCTTCTGACAACACCAGAGACTCACAAGAACAAATCTAGATAAAGACAATGTGTCCTTTCCTCACTTTGAATAGATTACTATTTTTATCTTATTTTTTCATGCTACTTTGCTTCTCATCCCCCAGATCAACAAAACAGATGTGATTTCTGAAAGAGATAGGCTTTCAGAAATTTTCCCTCCTGTTCTGTTTTTGGAATAATCCTATACAGCACACATAACAAACATGAACAATAATGAAAATACAGATACTTACGACGCTTTCGTCTTTGTACTTGACTGCTCTAAGATGATGGTTCATAAAGACAACTGTCAAGATCAGGTAAACAACAGCAAAAATTGTGTGCAGCCAGAGAAGATTGTCACTATTGAACATTAAAAGTCAGCATTAGAAGGTTCAAAATACTACAACTGACATGACTAAACCATAATATTTGCCTAGATGATTATTCAAGGTATGATTGGACAGTAAAACAAAAATATTAATAATGCCAGCTGTTTTACCCTGTTTACAACTTTTAGTGTAACTACACTGGACCCATATATTTTAAGAAAAGATAATTGCCAATCTTAGATCTTAAATAGAATTATAAAGCACATTTAACTTCAGATACTGCTTATGTCTCAGCTTGTGCATCTGGTTAGGTTTTGGAAACTACCATCCTACCTTTAAAACCCCTTCTACACTGCCATATAAAATCCAGATTATCTGCTTTGAGCTGGATTATATGGCAGTGTGGGGTTACATAATACAGCTCAAAGCAGATAATCCAGATTATCTGTTCTAATAATCTGGATTATATAGCAGTGTAGAAAGGACTTCATTCATCCAATTTGACTGAATCCCCAAGTTTTGGGGAAAAATATGAGAACTGGGTGGAGTAGAGGAATTGGCATCTGCTGTGGTCTTTTGTATAGATTACCCTTGACCCAAGCCATTTTCTATATCATTATGCAATATATAAATTTCAACATATGTTGAAAATGCAAACAAACTACTGGAACTTTTGATTATTTGTGATGGACTTGTTCTAAAGAATACTGGGGAAAAACCAGAGACATGGAAACTACAGTAGTTTCCAGATTTTCCAGAAAACAAACCATTGTATTTGAGTCTATTACAATGCCAAGGTGTATGTGTGTAAAATGTTGGTATCACATCTTGTTCCTAGATGCCTAACTATCATACTACATGTCAATCTACAATGGTAATAGATTATTGTTAAATGATAAATTTAAGGAATACTCATGTGGGAAATACTACACAATATTTTAATGCCTTATGATTACTCACCCTGTTTTCAAATTTGCTATTGTAGTTCTTCCAAAGCTATAAGGGTCTTTATCTGACAAACAGAATGGAATAATATGTGCACTATTAGTTTGTTTATTGCAGAGAGAAAAAATACAGTACTTCCACAAAAATAGTTCAAATTCATTTAAGTGAATGCAGCTTTTTAGCATAATTATGCTACAATTATCAGCAAATGAACACAGCTATCAAGTTATATACTACATGATGCAGTTTGGGACAAATTCATAGCTAGTGTATGTAGTAAAGAACATCCAGCCGTACAGTAAACACAATCCACTCCTGATGAAATCCTCAAATGTTCCAGCTGCTACCATATGTGCCTTGGGTTAAGTAACCAGCAATCTCCTGGCAAGCAACACTAGTGTGTATATACTAGACACAGGTTGAGTTGAAAGGCTCATACAGTTAGGTTGAGGAAGGAAAGAGGGAATTATGTAGCTCCTACTAGAAGTTATATGGTGCATCTAAACTGTAGAATTAATGCCGTCTAATACCACTCGAACTGCCATGTGTAGCCAACTCCCATTTTTTCTGCTCATCCGTTCTTGGAAGACACAAGAATGTTAAAATCTATACCACCACACTCTCTCTTCCATACCAGATGAGAAGGGTTGTCTTACATGTAAATATATCCCACTGCCATTTTTTTTTTCATTCACAGGAAAGAAGTGGAGGGGGGGAGGGAGTCACGGGTTTTCCATAGGCTAGTAACAGCCATGCAACACTGCTGAGGCAAATACTCTTCTTCCTGCTCTATTCTTCCCTTCAAGAACATTAATAAAACAGAAGGAGTAGGTCACTATTACTCCTCCTGCTACTCTTTAAGAAGTAGTGAGGGAGGACATCTTTGCTTCCTGTGATTAGTGGATTGTTACACCCTTTCTGTACGAAGGTATGAATGTCGTTTCTTGTGTGCCTTCAAATATTTTGTGACTTAGGGCAATCCTAAAATGAACCTATCTGCAATATTTGTTCAGGGGAATTTGTAACTGACTTCCTCTGAATGTGACTTGCCCAAAGTCACTGAGTAGGTTTCCACAGCTGAGTGCAGACTTGGACCCTTGTTTCCTGAAGTCCTAAATCAACACTCACACCATTCTTTTTTATAAGAATCGTAGTCCTGCTATTACAGCAAGAAGCCATGTGAATTCACTTGCTTTCATGTATGACATGTGCACTCCTATAGTCAATACTTTGTTGTTTGTTGTGTTACTTAGGTCAACTCCCATTTATAGCAGCTTTGTCCTACGATTTTCTAGGTAAGAGTTATTCAGAGCAGCCTAACTCTAAGGATGAGAATGTGTGACTTGCCCAAGGTCACAGGTTTCCATGGCTGACCAGAAATTCAAGCCCTAGGCTCCAAGAATCCTATTATACCATACCATACAAGCTCATACAAGTATCAGTTACAATAATCCACAAACTTCACAACTCTTACAGCATGCCGGTATCTGAAAGCCAAAATTTAAAGAGAGTTTTGAAGTTCCTTTCAAACCCTTTTGTTTATGAGAGGAGATACCGACAATAAAATTGCCTTTAAATTTTACTGTCTTACCTATAACTCCCATCAGCTCAAGCATTGCATGAAAAAGAAACATACATTTTGAGTATATATTCATTGGAACTGAAGATGATATTGTGCATTGAAGTACAGATTACATGCGTGGCCCTTTTGTCAACTTGCCAACCTTAATGCTAATCTGTTCAATGTGTTACTATGAATTCATGAATTCAAAGTAATAAAAAGCTCTCAGATTAGAGGTTGTTGACTTTTTATATCACCCCATGATACAAACTGCTAAACTCAGTTCAGTCCTTATTGTACATGAAGACTATTGAAATTTATGTAACTTTGATTGCCAGCACAGAGAACAGATTCTTTCTCTTAAGCAAGTCATTACTCTGAAGTAAATACTTCAGATCATGCTAATTAAAGTGCATGATGGTGATTTAATATATACAGTGCACATGCACGCATATCAATACACATGCATGTATGCTGATATGCCACTTGCATAGTGAGGTAAAGCAAAGTGCCACTCAAATACTGAAATATTAATATTTTGCTTAAACCACTTTTTTCAATTTGATCACTGGAACTACAGTTATAGTTATATTTAGATAAGCTCTCCTAAATCCAAAATGAGTCAGTAAGACCTGATCTCAGGATGTTGAAGACAATAGAGAAATTCATCTGGTACAAAGGGTTCTTACCAAGTAAGTTGCCCGATAAATTTACAGGAAGTATAATGCACAAAGACAACATGCTGACAACAATCAACAGGCAGATGAGATGGCGCTGAAAGGCGAGATAGGTAATGGCATCATTCCCACATTTTTCATGAATTTCTTCTTCACTGCGCCACAAATAAACAAACAGATTAGTCACCTGACATCTACATGACAGAACTTTTTGAAGAGATATTTAGATAAGGGGTTTGTGGTAGACTGTTCAATAGGGTGGCATCATAAAAGCTTTCAAGGACATATCCCAATGATCAACCTGCAACAAATGCACTAATTACCAATTGATTTCAAAGGGCTGTATGATATTTTTAAGGCATTAAATGTCTTAGCCCTCAGGATAACGTAGCTGTCACCCTAGCACACCTGACTAGCATAGCCAATGTTGAGGAATGCTGGGAGCTGCAGTCTAACAACAAATGGAGAGTCACGTGGTTCCCAACTCTTGCCCTAAAAAGTGGCTCCTTTGCATCCTATTTTAGCAGGACAAGACTAGCTTGATTGTGTGCATTCAGTTCATCCCTCCCATAGTTTTTTTTTTTAGTCATTAGAGTTAATTTTAATCTGGCTTTTGATATATGTGGCATTTAATGATTTTATGGTTTGCTTTTATATTTGGTTCTAATAGCTGGGTCAACCCTGAACATTGTTCTTTGTAGGGTTTTTTTTTAAAGAAATTATATTTTTGAACCATTGTTAATTGAACTCAGTTATGCCTTTGTAAAGAGTTTGGAAATAATGTGTTGGTTAACCATGACATACTTCTGTACCTCTGGTAATCCCTTAATGCTTCAATCAATGAGTTTACTAACTTCACAAATCAATAATGTCAATGATCAGTTTCTTTTCTACTATTTAATATTATCAAAATGTTTCCTAAACCAAATGCTCCAAACTTTGCCCCAGACACAGCCAATATTAGTGCTTATAATGAAAGAGAACAGGATGCAGAGCAGCCAAGTTATAAAAAATGCAAATACATGCAGAAAGGAAGACTGGAAGTCCAACCATCACCTGACTTTGGTTCAGAAATATAACCATTTGCCCTCCATTATTCTAGAAAAAAATCAAAGACTTTTAAAAACATTGTAATGTTTTATATAGTTCTTACAACCACAACAAAAAGCACATGCCCAGCTGTTCTTCTGAATAAAATTACTTAACTATACACAGTGTTTAGAATATATATGGGTTATTATAAAATTGGTTATATTTAATTTTATAATCAGGTAACAAGACAATTGTCCTTCCTTCCTACAGAGTAGTATTTATTTATTTATCTTATTTATGCCCCGCCTTTCTCACGCAGGGAGCTTTCAAATGGTTGAACAGAAGCTCTCTGAAGTTTTAGGTGCTCTTACTGCCTATTACAGGGGAAACCATCAGATTCCTAATCCATCTAAAACGCAGGTGTGTGCTTTTCATCTTAAGAACAGATAAGCATCTCGAGCTCTGAGGATTACCTGAGAAGGAATCCCACTGGGGCACTGCAGCACACCAAAATACCTAGGAGTTACTCTGGACCAAGCTCTGACTTACAAGAAGCACTGACTGCCTATCAAACAAAAAGTGGGTGCTAGAAAAGGTATCATACAAAAGCTGACTAGCACAACCTGGGGATCACAACCAGATACAGTGAAGACATCTGCCCTTGGACATTGTTACTCTGCTGCTGAAAACTCTGCTTCTGAAAATGCACGCCCAATGTGGAATACATCTCACCACATTAAAATAGTGAATGTGGCTCCTAATGAGACATGCCGCATTATCACAGGATGTCTACGCCCTACACTGCTGGAGAAATTATACTGTTTAGCTGGTATTGCACCATCGGATATCTGTTGGGAAGTAGCAGCCAGTAATGAAAGGGCCAAGGTATTGACATCTCCTCTGTTCAGATATCAGCCAGCATGCAAATGTCTTAAATCAAGAAATAGCTTTCTAAGATTTACAGGAATACTCACAGGAACACCTCAACAAGTGAGAGTCCAAAAGTGACAGGTTAAAACCCACAACCTCAATCAGTGGTTGATATCGGATGAGAAACTCCCTCCTAGGCACACAGAATGGGTGACTTGGAAGGCACTAAACAGACTGCGCTCTGGTACCATGAGATGCAGAGCTAATCTTAAGAAATTGGCTACAAAGTGATGTCCACAACATGCAAAAGTGGAGAAGAGCAAACCTCAGACCACCTACTACAATGCAGCCTGAGCCGTGCCACTTGCACAATGGAGGACCTTCTTACAGCAACACCTGAAGCACTCAAAGTGGTCAGCTTCTAGTCAAAGGAAATTCAGTATAATGCCAAGTTTTTAACTTTTTTTTTCAAATACATTATAACTGTATTCTCACTTCACTCCTGACACAATAAAAATGTTTGTATTTGATTTGTTTAAGTTGTCTTTAGATTGTGTGGCTGTTAGTCATCTTGAAAGGCAGGATATAAATAAAGTTAATAATACTAATTTGTTTAATTATAAGATTTATCTCTCACTTTATAACTACCAATCTTTGAGGTAGTATATGAAACATAGTAAGATAACACAGAGCAATGGTTAATGCTTATAATGCTTATAAAATGTTTAACTTTTATAATTCCTAATGGATACTACTACTCATATCACAACTTCTCTGCATACTTACTGCATTCGAAAAGCAGATGCCATCCAAGAACAAAAACCCTGCAAAAAATGATAGTATTTTGTGATCACAAAAGCATATCAGGAAAAGAACTACTGGTAGTAGAGTTCCACTTGCAAAATGAGGCATCTCTGCTTCCTTGTTCCTGTTGCAACTGCATACATTCCCTGAAAATCTGATCCTGAATGTTGGAAGACTGGCTGAGGGGGCAGGGAAAGCATAACAGACAGCTATAAACAGGGTCAGAACTGGCAAAATGTCAGACAGCACTCTCCACATAAGCAGAAAAACCTCCTTTTCCTGAAAAGGGCTCTGACACTTCCCTTTCAAAGAGCATAACAATATAATCATTCAAAGTATATACTGATACTATATTTTCCCAGAAATACTTCAAAAAACTTTCTCTTTAATATTAAGTGTTGGGGCGGGGTGGGGGTGGGGGTCATAATCAGCTTTGCTACTGAAGCATGGAAAATGGGTAACAGAAATCCTTTATGAGCATATTCCTGAGAATGTTAGTGCATCAAATTGTGAAACTGCCTTACACAGAAGAACTAATATGTGACAGGCTTCACATAAAATGGTACTGACCTCATCAGGATCCAGTTCATCAGGAATTGAGGAGGATACTGATAATCTATGAAATTTGGCTTCACTACAAGACAGAACGGAAAGAAACATGATAAGAACCCTATACTAAAAGCAATTGCTAAAGCTAATATCACTTAAGTAATTAAAAATGTTAAAGTCGACACTTTTTAAAAAAAATAAGGAATGAGCTGTGGAGGGTAATGCTGCCCTATGAAGTAGATACAAATGTAGCTAATAAAAATGTCTTAGGACTAAGGAAGGGAAGGAAAGAGCGAGGTAGGAAGAAGGTGTATTACAGTATAAGCAAAATGTGAATAAGGTAAGAGATAAGCTTGGTGTAATGGTTTGAGCATTGAAGTATTACTCTGGAGACCAGGGTTCGGGTCCCTACTCAGCCATGAAAACTCATTGGGGGACTTTGCGTGAGTTGCTCTGGGTGAGCCCCAGAAAATCCTGCCTTAGGGTCGCCACTAATTGGAAACGATTTAAAGCCACAATAAAAACATTGTAAAAGACTCATTTTGAAGAAATTGTTCAGTTATACACACAAGATCATCTTACACTTTGCTTTTAAGGGGCCAAAGCAGTCTTTTCTAGAATCCATCTCATGATTATAAGGATCCAGGTCTTTCTGTCCAACAGTTACGAGGCAGAGCTTATTCTATATTTTCTCTTCTTACTGCACAAAAAATGAGCACATTGACCACCCTGAACTTTTGTGACTAGAAGAAAACAGGAACAAGACAAGAAAAAGGAGAAACACAAAACAAGCAAGAAGGAAAAATAATTAAGAAGTAAAGTAGAAGAGGGAGGCTGGGAAAATGACAAAAGATGAGAGCAAGTAAAAACAAAGTGCTTGAAATAAATAGGGAGAAAAGGGGATGCTTCCCTTTAAAAATATTATTTGCAAAGATTGCTTCTCCATCTATGTTATGATATAGAATTACTTTCCCCTCCAAAAGGATAATCAAGAGGCTGAGCACCTCGTCTAAAGTCTACTGATTGCCTTCAATTTGTTCCCTGTGACAAAACAGTTGTTGCTTCTGCAAAAGGTATGCTCAAAACCATGTTTAAGGCTTATAGCAGCATTTCTCAACCTGGGAGTCGGGACCCCTTGAGGGGTGAGGTCACAAGGGGGTTTCAGAGGGATCACCAAAGACCATCAGCAAACATGTATTTCTGTTGGTCTTAGGAAACTCTTTGGCAGCCACTTTGAATCCCCTAAGGAGTGAGAAGGATGGGGTATATGGTAAATAAATAAATAGACTTGCTTTTGTAAAGACAATGGAGTTTTTGCATCTTCTATCTCTATTTATATAATCTACCTGCTTTCTATACTAGTCGAGTAGCCTTTATCCAAACTGCTTCGTACCAGAAGTGTTTTGAATTTCAGATTGTTTTGGATTTTGAAATATCTGTATTTCCATATATATACATAATGAGGTTTCTAGGAGATGGGAACTAAGTGAAAACACGATGTTGATTTATGTTTCATACATACCTTATACATATAGTCTGAAAATAGTTTTACAGACAATTTTAATAATTCTGTGCATGGAATAAAGTTTGTGTACGCTAAACCATCATAAAGGTTTCATTATGTCAGCCACTTATGTGGCCAATTCCAAATTTTGAAGTATTTTGTAATTCAGGGTGAGGGATGCTCAACATGCATTGGTCATCAGTCAATATCAGTGTATACAGTTGGCTGTTGGGTTGCTAGAACAGCATGTTCTGAATGAAGAAACTGCTGTCCTTGACAAATCCAGTCAGTCACTCTCCAGTATCATTTCTTGATCCCAGGCCAATTTCCCAACAGTCAGATTCTGCTGTGTTTCCTTTTTTATATTCAAATAGTCTGTGATTAACAAGTTCTGTTTTGACATGTGATCAAAACAGCAATATTGGTGGGTTCTCCCTAAAGTCTTACTCTTATGACTTGGACAAACATAGTTTTATAGTCAGTCCTCCACATTTAGAGGTTTGATTTTTGTGGATTTGATTATTCTCCTGAGAATGAGAGAGTATTGTTTGAAAAGTTATGCAGTGGGTTTCCATGGTGGGGGAGGGTTTGAACCCTGATCCCTCAGAGACCTAACAACACTCAAACCACTACATCACACTCATTACTGCCAAGGTTTAAAGAGCTCATTTGTTAAGTTACTGGGAAAACCCCGTAAAATATGTGCAACAACTCAAGAGTGTTAATGTGGTTACTTTGCCTGAAACTCTTCCCATTTACTGACTTTCATAGGAGAAATATAAGACATGATGTTAAATGCATAACTGCAAATCAGTGTTTCCTAAAAATAAATTAAAAGCATAAAAGGATTTTCATATGGGTCAGCATATGGGGAGGAGAGCTTTAACCCTTTGTTTTTGGTTTGGTTTTGTTTTTTATGCCAGCTTTACTAAGTTTAATATATTTTTACCTGTCTTCTTCTGATACCAGTGCAATGCGACCATAATCCCAGAATCTTTTTCTTATAAAGGAAAATATCAACATTAACACCTAGGAATGAAAACAAACATATATTTATTATTATTATTTGAAACACAACAAGATGAGTCCACAACAGACACTCTGCTAGCTTTTGAATTGGATCACACATCAGAAACTTCCCAAGTGTCTAGGACTGTGTGATGTATCGGCGAATAATGCGTACAGATCCCAGTAAGGTAGCCTTCTGCAGCTGGAAGATGGTAATTTTGTCAGCGCCAATTGTGTTTAAGTGCAGGCCAAGGGCTTTAGGCACTGCACCCAGTGTGCCGATCACCACTGGGACCACCTTTACTGGTTTGTGCCAGAGTATTTGCAGTTTGATTTTTAAATCCTCATATCGTGTCAGCTTTTCCAGTTGTTTCTCTGCAATCTTACTGTCACCTGGGATTGCGACATTATTATTATTATTTTATGTTAAACTAGTTTAAGACCAGCCAGTGTCAAATGAAATATCCAGAACCAAATTTATCCTTGCCATTATGAACTTTTATACTGCTTTGATACAACTTGTGCTCCAAAGAAAGAAAAACTTGGATGATACTACAATTGTTTTCCAAGAAAAAAACCCTTCAAACAAATGGATGTTGCCCTTACTTCTAATGCTCACAGCTTTAAGACACTTAAAAGGAACTGTATTGCATCAGTGCTGCATGTACTTCTTGCTATCCAAAGACTGCAGAATGGTTTATTGCTGTTATGGTGATAAGGAAAATCGATCATAGCATTTTGTTTTTGTTTTTTGCAACATTTGCTCAGAGGTTAATTGCCAAATGCATCCTTCTGAGATTGAGACTGTGACTTTGCTAAAATGGTTTCTCATTACAAAGCAGAGATTCAAACCCTGATATCACAGTCATAATCCAATGCTCAAATTACCACTCCACACAGTACAGAATTTTTATACCATGTTATATATCATGGTCACAACCTTCTAGTTGCCTCAGCATACCTTTTCTGAAAGGAATGCTGTTTGATCTCCTCCCCACAAAAGCTCTATCTTTTGTACGTTGAACTAGAGAATTCTTGAAGGGATAAACATTTGTCCAACAATTACAGTGTTTACAAAAGGAGCATACCAAAAAGCAGGTTACATCAAGCAGCAGAACAGTAGGGACTCCACCGAAGGTTACACCTTGAAGCACAGTACTTCCTTGTGCAGTGCTGTAGCAGTAGGTACCATTTGGATAGTCAAGGTCTCTAGTTTTATTCAAGAAGTAAACCATGCGCGAATGTCCAGCATCCAGAGACACAACTGGAATCATGCTGCCTCACTTAGAAAAGGAAATATCACAAAGCAGTTACATTGGGAATGAAAATGTGTCATTCATTCAACTAAAATAAGACAAGAAAATCAGGGGACAACATTTCAAACAAAAGCAATATTATTTCACTATAATCATTATTTAAGAGGTCTGGATCAAAATTCAATATGAAGTTATTGTTACTTGAATACACTTATAATCATTTCCTGGTGTGTCTCCTTCTATATTAGTGATTCCAAACTAAAAGTATACAATAACCATGCCATGTTATAAGGTTTTATCAAATCCTACCCTATAGACTCTAATCCAAGATAGTGGCAGTTCCTATGGTAAAAACAAAGCAAGTTGATTGGTGGTCTGTTTAGGATAGTGATTTCCAAATGCTATCAGGATACAACTTCAATAGTCCTTCTATGCTAATTATGTTGTTTAGTGCTTCTGGAAGCTGAAATCCAACAATATCTTCTGGGAACTAAATTTGGGAGCCATTATTTTAGAAGAGGAAATTTCCCACACTGTGGACATAACTACGACTTTTCAATCAACAGAAATTCTGTCCTTCACATATTCTTGCTATAAGGAGTGAACCAGAAAGCCACATTTCATTATCACATTTGCTGCAGTTCCTATGTGCCTTCAAATCATTTCTGAACTATGGCGACCTTTCTTGTTACTCTAATTGGTATTGTTCCATTATCTGGACGGAGGCCAAAAGGGGCTCTAGACAGAAAATGATAGTCTATTTTATGAGGGGGTTGAAGGAATTAAATAATTTCCCCCTGTTTTCCTTTTATGCTCCCCACCCATGTCACCCACCATGGAAAAAACCTTTGTTTATAAAATAGGAAGTAGGGAAGGGGAATAATCAGTGAAAACAGGAAAAATGGTTTTCCTCCTTCAGTCCCCCCTGCAATAAAATGGACTATCCTTCTCCGTCTAGCACCTTTTGGCCTCCACCTGGATAACAGAATACCTTATATTTTTATACCCCACCTTTGTCTCTTGACTGAGACCCAAAGGAGCTCATACCATTAAAAACAATGTGATTCAAAACATACAACATATAAATATTAAAATACAATCAAACCTATCACTGGGGTTTCACGGCAAGATTGGTTGAAAAGGAGTTTGTCATTGCCTTTCTTTTAAGGTTATAAGGGCCTGACTTGCCCAAGTCCCCCAGTGGGTTTCATGGCTGCAGCTCCCAAAAATAGGAAATGCGGCATAAAATAATAGGCTTCCACTTCTGAAATTCCATTTGCCTTCAAATGCCATTTCTGGAAATGCTAAGCCCTGCAGAGGGCAGAGGAGAGCCAGATGTATCACGAGTTGCGACCAGTTGCAAATAGGGTGTGTAATTATCAGTTTTGCTCAATTTGTCATAAAGGAAAGGCAGAAATAAGGCACCCTACGTCCTTAGAAATGACATCTCACAACCCTAAATTGTCCTAATGGGTTCTGCCCACCTTGAAAAAAAGCTCAGAAGAAAAAACCAGGGAGCAAGATTTAAACAGAACAGCAGGCGTGGGGTTTCTCCCACCATATGGGACAGCAGAGCAAAATGTGGGTTGTCATTTCCTTTAAAAGAGCCACAAAGCATGGCAAAATTAAACAGACTGCTTTTCTCCCCCATCATTGCACTTTCGTAGCAGGGAAGCTGTTGAATTTCTGCCATTACAGCAAATGAGGCTACTGTAGAAACAATGCAGTTTGACACCACTTTATCTGCTATGGCTTAACGCTATGAAATCCTAGGTTGAGTAGTTTGGTGAAGCATCAGATGGCTAAGGGGTGCATCTACACTATGCATGGGCAAACTTCAGCTCTCTAGGTGTTTTGAACTTCAACTGCCACAATTCCTAACAGCTGGTAAGATGGCTGGGATTTCTGGGAGTTGACATCCAAAACACCTGG